CAACATGCCCTAAGCCGGCCTCCCTTACGAAATTCCCACCCCCCCCCCCCCCCCCCCCCCCCCCGTGTACGACGATGCGGCGCACCCATGTGGTTTCGTCTTCAGTTATAATCAATTCTGCATCTCTGTTGATCTAATGGATAAAATGATAACTTTTAACACCTAGAAAGTATAGACATCAATTTGTGATTTGCAGCTTGCATTTTGTAGGTCCTAGTGAACTCTGAACAGCATTAATAACCATGCACTGCTCTGCATGTCTTGACTCTGTACCTAGCTTTGTCTGTGTGTGTGTGTGTGTGTGCCTGCTTCAATGATCACTATAATATGTTTACACCGAAGCCTCGCTTGAATCCCACGGTGATTTTCGGAAATGTATGCACTTCATATAAAATGTTCTGCTGTAGACGGAGGTGATTTTCGGAAATGTATGCACTTCACATAAAATGTGGTCTACCGTAGAAGAGTGGATGCCATGTGAAGAAACTGGATGCAACTTTTTGTAAAGTGCTGCAAGATGTTTTTGAAACATCCTAGTGTTCCCTTTGAACTGTACATATTCTGATTGCACTTGTTAGCATTGTGCTTTTAACACTTTCCTATGTTTCATTTTATGGTAAACTGCAACACTTGACTTCAATGGTTTTGTCACTGGCCTGTATATGCTTTGACGAGTACTTCATGGTCTCTCTTTGTATATGAAGATTTTATTATGACGTTTATTTGATTGTTTATATAGTTTTCTCAGATCAGTCAGCTGCGACCTCCATAGCTCTACAACAGAACTGCACTCCAGATAAAGGTGCCAGTGCATTCAAAATGTAAAAGTGAAGGAGGGTGATCTCCCTGCAGAATGGAGGCTGTTATACAACATATACAATATGTTATTTAACACAGTAAGATCATTCTTTATACTGGTTTTGTGTTTGTAAATAAACCTGATTGGATTTTTTCTCTTGTATATTGTGCCGCATACTTTACTTTACTGTTACTTGAGTTTTACTCACAACTTCCAAAGAGATAACTATATCACGCCCTATCTTGTTTATTTTAGTTGTAGGTTTTCATCTGTCCACTAGATGTCACCTTTCCCTCAGTTTATCAATCACTAGCCGTTATTCAAATCACCTTTTTAAATCTGAATTGGAACCTTTGCGGCGTCGTGTTTTTGTACGACTTTTTCCGAGTATTACCAGGTAATTACGCATTACACAGACTCATATTACACACACTCACTATGAAAAGCTAGTTTCGACGTATCGTGTCCTCATTTAAGTCATTTATCATACTCTGTCAACAGCCTCATTAAACTATGACGTGCTAACAGGCAGATGCTATTTGTAGCCATAATTACCCACTAATAAATGTTCTAATAAATCTTACTAAATCGACCAGAGATTAATTAGTTGCGAAAAAGTCACGCAAAACAATTACGTTATCGCCCTATTTTATTACGTCAATAAATCAAGTTGTTAGACATGTTTGCTAACAATTAGCAGCTTCGTCATCGCATCCAGTAGTGAATAATTACACATTAGGATTAAATATCTCTCACTTCAACATTACTGTGAAGGACAAAATATTTTTTTGTAAACATAATAATAATAATAATTTAAAAAATTAAGTGTATTTAGTTTGTTTACTGCCGACTAATGTAAAAACCGGGATACAAATAAAGCCATACCAAAAGATGGATTAATAATTAATGTAAATTCAGACATTAAAAAAACATTTGTGGTAACAAAATATTCAATTTCTATTTTGTATATGGATAGAATATACAATTTATTATATATTATATCATTATAGATATACAATATATTTAATTCTAATGTAAAAACTCGGGCAACAAGTAGTTGATTTCGTTGTTGTGTAAATGTACAAAAACCTATTACTTGATTGCAAACTTCTTTTTCGTTATATTTCTCACCAAAAAAACGTTAGGGCTCATTTATTTTTGCCGGTGTAATTCCTCAGTGTAGAGTTTCAAATGAGGTTTGATTCTAAGATGACTCTTATCTTGTGGTTGGGTAATCTGATGATGAAAGTTCACTATGACCAAACTCTGCCCTCTTCCTTGATACCCGGTGGATTATCAGGTGGCAGCAATAATGCTAATGGGCTAATTTGGCTCATAGTCAGGTGTAAATATGATAGAGCCACAGAAGAGTCCACAGAGTGAAACCTTGCTTGAGTTCCTCAAGACAGAAATCTCACAAAGACACTGTGTTTGTGTTAGAATTTTACAACATAACACACACAATAAAACGTGAGAAAATTCAAGAAATAATTGAATTTGGCAAATTTCAAGCACGTCAAATTTATACTATGAAAACATCAAATACATGATATTGTGTGAAACGTGTATCATTCTTCCTTTAACTGTCTGGAAGAAAAAGTTAGTAGTTAGTTTTCATTTTAATCGCAAATCTCTCCCTCTTATTTAATGACCAAGAAGGATTACATTTAAGAAAATCAATTTTTACTGTAATGAAATCCATTTTTTAACATTTGTTTTGCCAGTTTATCTGCAACAACACACCTTGGTTATATTAGTAGAGAAGCAGCTGTTGGAGAGATGTTGATGAATGTGTATATGTTTTTGTTTATGTCTGTCAGTCTTACTGTCTGTCTGTCTGTGTACGTCTGACTGCAGGTAAGAGCGAGACGCCCCCGGCCCGTAAAGCGATCCTGACACCATGAATAATGGAGGGCGCCGTGGCAGAGAGGATAAGTTCTCTGTTCAAGGCTCCTTTTTCACAGGGCTTTCTCCCATGCACCACGTGACTGCTGAGGTGACAGTAATTTTTCATGAGTACTGTGTGTTTGTTGTATGGACACATACTGCCCAGGAAGGCGTTGTCCAGTTAGTCATCACTCTGTATGCACATGCTTACCTGGCACCCCCTTCTGCCGTACACACCCAGGCTGCTCCAAACCCCATCATCCTGGAGCCTCCTCGCAGCCAAAGGGTCAAATGAATTGTCTTACAACCTCAGAAACATAAGGCAGCATTTGTGAAACCAAAGGTGAGGGAAGTGGATAAATAAAAGATGCCGACGAAACAGAAAAAATCCACACCTTCAGATGACACTGAAGAGGTGGATGACGAAGTGGACGAGACGGAGCTGAAGGAAAACAATCGGAGTAATAGTGAGACACGGGGGAACACCAGGAAAGGAGAAAAGAGTCGGAAGAAAAACAAGAGTTCAGAGAGGTCTGACACTGAGGAGACCTCAAGAAAGGAGGAGAGAGGTGAAAAAATAAAAGAAAAAAAAAGGAAAAAGAAGGTTGATGAAAACTCTGACGCTTTGATTGAAAAAGAAGCCGAAGAAGAGGAGCAGAACAACAATGATCCAAACAGCGTTTCCAAAAAGAAGAAAGAGAAGCTCAAAGACGAAGTGTCTGAGGAAGTGAAGGAGGAAAAGAAGAAAAAAAAGAAGAAATCCTCACAGGAGGAGGAGGAGATGGGCTCCAAGGATAAAAAGTCAAAAGAAGGCAAGAAGAAGAAGAAATCTCACGAGGATGAGGAGCCCTTGATTGAGGAGATAGCAGAGGAGGAGGAGGACTCGAAGAAAAAGAAGAAGAAGAAGACAAAGAAGGGTTCGGCGGACAGTGATGAAGACAAGAAGAAAAAGGGGAAAAAGTCCAAAAATAAGCAGGTGGACTATGCGGTCATCTACCAGAACGAGTTATTAAACTACCACACAGACTCATCTGATGGATATGAGGATGAGTATTTCAAAAAGAAAGGTAAGTTCAACACTAACAGAGAAACATCGCACATACAGTAGATGCTCTATGGTTAAAGTCTTAGCTGTTGGTCATATGTACGACTCACTGGTCAAACACTGACCACAGATCAGTTCCCCTGCTCTGAATATCACACAGCACTCCAGGGAATCCCTCTGTGATTGTTCTGTGCTCAATGCTTGGTTATGTTCCACATGATTGGTACCAAATAGAGGCTGAGGGGCAGACAAGTGCTGGGTGCCATCCCAGTCACGGGGGCCGGGAGCAGCGTTGGGCCAGGGGCCGGGCTGCAGGCCAAGAATGTTTTTGTTCCTTAGAGCAGGTGAGAGATTGTAGTGGTGGACGACAAAACTCAGTTTCCTGAGTAAAGACCCATGGATATGAATGTGTTTTGAAATTTTAAATGTAATACTATTTTCCTGTTAACGTCAAAATTATGCTTCAAAATTATTTTGCTTCAATATTAATGTTAAACTAATATAAGAGTATTTTATTGCAGGGGTGCACAACCCCTGGTCCTTGGACCGTTGCAGGTCGGTTAGTTATTTTGTACCGAGCTGCAGAGAAACAATTAATAATTTCTTTATTTATTGAGATAACTGTTATTTTCACTTACTTTAGTCATTTAAAGATAATCTGGCAATTTTCCCAAATAATAAAAAAATTCAGGTTCCAATGTTAATAGAATGAAGTCTAAAAGATATTTTACTGGCTAGTTTCAGTTGACTGATCCTTGATACAAAAATTGTATCAGAGACTGTTGCTTTATTGAACACATCAGGTTGATTATGGATTGCATTATGTTGCCACGTATTTTGTGATCTGTGAAAACAGGGAGTATATTAACTCCATTCTTAGCTAAACTATTTTGTTAGTGATTATTGCTAACCTTTAGCTCTTGATCATCATAGATTATTGAGATGATATTGTTTCAGATCAGTGGAGGTTGTTGTCACCTTGAGGCCCCCTCTGACAAGGCTTTTGTGTGTCTGATTTTATCTGGAGTCTCACTTACCCTTAAGCTGGTTCTAATAGCTGTGCACCCTGTTAAGCGGGTATCCATGTACCTCAGTAAAGTACGCGGACACTCTAACTCCATGTTTAGCCTCATTTATGTCTTTTCCTGAGCTCCTCTGGTTTGGAAAACTTTTGTATATTCTTCTCAACATATTTCTACCTGCTGTTATTTGTCCTTCTGTTCTTGCAACAAACATTGCTTTTGTTTAACCCGTTTAACACTTCGAATATACATGATATGAATTAGATACGCTATAACAGTATAGAGTAGCTGGTCTACACGCTTTTGTGTCCTCCAGAATCACCTTTGACCTCAGGTGAAATCACCTGAACTGTGACACCAATCCTTGGCGTTGCATAATGAGCGATGTTACATAATGAGAAGTAAGGGGAGTTCACAGCAGTGGACAGTAAAGACACAGGGATACAGGATTACCAATATATGTATAAGCAGCAGCACAGAGACCGAGGCAACAGCTGTGGGCTAAATAATACGCTGATGAAGATTTAATGTTGCTAATGTAACCTAAACAAGACACCTGTGCAGGTGTGACTTTCATACCAGTCACTCTTTCTCTCTCCCTCTCTCCTGCTCTATCTCACTCTACACGCACACACTTTGAGTTTTACAACTGTTTTTCTAGAAAACATCCACTTTCTATGAATTAAATTGATTGAATTTTGCTTTTAAATTTTTTTTGAGATGTCAGGAAAAAGTGAAATTGAATTTCAGAATTTAGATGTCAGGAAAAAGTGAAATTGAATTCATCAGTTAACATCTCAGCAGACAAAGATGTCTCACCAGGTTTTTTTTTATTTGCACGTTTTAAATAATTTGGAAAATAGGAAATAATGATCTTAGTTATTGCAGTTTTGCAGGTGTAACTTTCACCATTTGTGCTTCAAAGTTTGTTTCAGAACAGAACAGCCTGTAGTCACAGACAGACAAGCTATGTATAGGCAAAATGACACTCTCGGTGGAAACCAACAGTTAACCATCACTTTATGATCCAAATGCTGTCGAGTGCCTGTGTTGACATCTATTTGACTTAAACCAAAACATCATGGAAACAGACAATTGGATCTCGCAGCTTGCCTTTTGGAAAGCTTCCATGACAGATTCCATGAGCCACAGATTGATTAAAAAAATCCATAACAACAAAGTTGCAAAATCAAGAAACTGTGACGATGTGGAGACAGATTAGAAATCCTGGCGTTTGGCACGTTATAGTCAACTGGTCAACTAATCAAATCACATCCATCACACTGTATATAATAGTTAGCTGCAGCCCAAATAAGAAACAAGTATAAATAGCCATCGTAAAAACTTTTAAATTTCTGGACAAATTCACTTTGTTCTATAGTAAAAGTAGTGAATTTTGAGTCGTTTGAGTTTTTTACACACACTGTTGGGTAACTTCTTAGTCTTCTCTTTGTCTCCAGCTAAACACCAGCAGTGTGTCACTCCTGACATGGATTTGCTGCACATTCACCATATTGAATTACCTGGCAAGTGTGCATGGAAAGAAACACAATGCTGCCAAATGTTTATTGATTATTGGGCACAGTCTGGAGATTTAACTCCAGGCTTTCAGGTTAGTCCTGGTCACTGCTGAGAGGAACTCAATCCACAAGTTTATAGCTTATATTTCTGACTTTAATGAAGTAATGACTAGGGGTGTGTATTGGCAAGAATCTGGCAATACGATATGTATCACAATACAAGGACAATGATGTAATATTTGCAATATACGATATCGCAATATATTGCATACTATAATTGTATGAAAACTACTGCACACAGTAAACACACAATACTGTCACATGCTACACAATGTGTACACAATATGATATCATGAAACGAAATATCGCAATATCGTTTTAACGTATCAATATTTTCTTACGCCCCTAGTGTTGACACAGATTAACTTCACCCTTCCTTTTTTTTTCCAGTGTACGAAGTGGTCGCTGTCACAGGTGATGTAAAGGGAGCCGGCACTGATGCCAATGTGTTTGTCACCCTGTTTGGAGACTTTGGCGTCACCCCTAAAATTCACCTGGCAAGCAAGTGAGTATAAAAGAGGACGTGTTATGACTGTAAACCTCGTTTCGAATCCAGGCTTGAATCTTTTAATTTTATTCAAGCAGACATGTTTAAATGTTTATAACTTTTAATGTCTAATGTCTTCCTTTTTGATCTTTCAGCACAGAAAAAAGGTATTTTCTAATCAGTACACTTAAGGATGGTTATGTTTCTGTCCTTGTGTTTGGTTGAACTGTGCATGTATCGCTGTATAAGAGAGCATTCCTGTTTAACATCGACACTGATGTCACCAGTAAAACAAATCAAGCTTTTTTTTTTTTACATTTTTACAGCTAAAGATTTTTGTTCTCGATGCAGGAATCTCTCCTCTATACAGTCACATTAAATGACAAACACAGAACCCTCGGAGTAAGGAGGAACTACGTGACATAGCTGGTCTTCTTTTTCATTCAGAAGCAAATGAATGAAAGAAGTCCACCATGTCATTTCTGCTGGTGATCAAGTGACAGGGGATCTCATTAGAAGCCGCATCCTATTTTCTCTGTGCACACGTTGATTGACAGGTAGAGTTACCTGTGCAGCATATAGGATGCACATCTTCATTGTAATCTACTCAGGGCTATGTTACCCACACCTTCTGGTGGTCTCATTCACCCACTGCAGACTGCACCAACATGTCATGCATGCACGGCTCATGAACATCATCCATGCATGTTGATGAAGTCATCATTGATACAATGGACATAAATATTCTACTTAAATCAGTTTCACCTTACTCTGATATACTGTATATACTAATGATGTGTCCGGCCTGTATTGTGTAACGATCGATGACGACATGATACAGGCTGATGTCTCTGTGCATACTGACTCAACAGTCACTGAGAAGTAATTCTTTGGACATTCAGTGTGATTATTACCTATTCAAATTGCATGAATTCCAAAGTTTGCACTGGGTTTGCAGTTTTTCTTCATCACTTTGCTGCAAGTCAATTCATATGGATTCTGAATTAACACTTTTCAAAACAGGATTTAGATTTGTACGTTTAACAGTACGTAAGTTAAATGATGATTTAGAGTTGGAGATTGGTGAGGAAGATAGCTGGAGATAAACGGCTAAACGATTCTGAGTACAGTACTAGACAGAAGAAATCTATATGTACAGGACAGAAGAATTGAAAATAAAACGCACCTAAAGATTGTTGAATATTAATGAGTAGGTTCCAGTTATCCTTGAGCCACGAGACCACCTAAAACTAAACCAGTCTGACAAACCTGACTTGTATCTGTCTTTGTCCCAAAACTTCAGGCAAATACATGCTAACATTTTTTTCACCCCTTGACCTTAATTCACAGAAGCAGAACGGCATTTGAGAAGAATAAGACCGATGTGTTTCGCATAAAAACTCACAATGTGGGACCCCTGAAGAAGCTGAGGTGAGTTCACCGCTGCTACAGTGTGCTAATGATATATATGTATATATATATATATATATATATATGTTATATTAGCTGCAGATTGTGAGCTTTCAGTGAATTTGCATGGCTGCAGTACAGGGGTAATTCAACGGGATAACAACAGTACAGTAGGTGATGTCACAGGAGACTTTCAAACCTATTTCTCTGCTTGTTGATGTAAAACGAAGTCACTCCTAAATTCAACACATTTTTATTACAGTATGTTATAATGTTGACACATTTAGTTGACACCGTTTTCCCAGGATTGAACATGACAACACAGGGATGAACGCCAGCTGGTTCCTGGACAGGGTGGTCGTGACCGACATGAACCGACCACATCTGCGCTTCTACTTCGCCTGCAGTAACTGGCTGAGTCGGGAGGAGGGTGACAACCTGTTTGTCAGGGACCTGCTGGGCAGCCTGAACCCCATGGATGTCCCAAAGTGTGGGTCTACCTGGGAAACACACTCATAATCCCTGTGTCACAGTAAAAACCACATACGTATGAACTCACATCTACTGTATGTCATGACATAGCTGTATATTAGTATAAGATCCTGACTCACATCTACTGTATGTCATGACATATATGCTGTATATTAGTATAAGATCCTACTGTCGTTTGAGGTTGTAATTGAAGTCCATCAGTGTGTAACCTTCAGGTCGACTCTCGTGCTGCAACGTGATACGATGTCTCAGCGTCTGTAGTCAGTTGAGGGCAGCGTCGTGAGGCTCAAAACAATAAGACACAGTGTTGTCAGGGAGTGGTCAGAACAGTGTGGCTGGACAAATCCACACACACACACACACATACAGAACACTATGAATATTTAAACAGAAAACTATCTCAGTGTCAGTGAGCCCTGGACCTGACTAATAACAACTAATTATCTTCAGTTAATAATTGTCTTAGGACAAAATAATGATTCCTCACATTCTAATTTTGGTTCTCATTTCATATTCCAACTGCAGTGAACAAATACATTGTGAGTGTGTTCACTGCTGATATGAAGGGGAGTGGAACCGATGCTGATGTCTTCTTAAATATCTTTGGAGAAAACGGAGATTCAGGTAAACCTGCATTTATAGCTTTTTTAAATTGTTTATAAAACAACTAAGATAAAAGACCTGTATCGACATCTCTGACAACAACATAGTGTAATCTTTTGTTTTGTCATTTCTGCTTCATGAATTAAGTAATAGCAAAGTGACACATAACTAGGTTTTTGAAAATAAAACAAGGTCAAAGTTGACCTCCAGTCAAAACTGTTTTGCAACTTTTGTAACAGACTAATAGTTATCCAATCCAGTATCTGTGATGCTCTCAGTGTGTTTTTTACAGTCTGGTATAAGTTAATAATGTATCTTTTGTCATGAAAGGAGAGAGACGACTGGACAGTGACAAGGACAACTTTGAACGTGGCTCAGAGGACAAGTTCACGATAGAAGCTCCAAACCTGGGAAGACTGAAGAAAATCACCATCGGCCACAACAACAGAGGTTCTTCAGCTGGATGGTTTTTGGACAAGGCATGTCCAGTCTGAACACAACACAAAAAGAATGTTTCAGCAGTTGTGTACATAATAAATGAAATAAAACAAACTCACGATGGCGGATGACGTACTGTATCTCCACAGGTGGTGATCGACGACATGGGGAACAAGGAAATGTACGAGTTCCCAGTTAATAACTGGTTCGCTATGGATGAAGGCGATGGCAAAATACAGAGAGATTTGCTGGTGGGATCAGTGCAACCTACGGGTCAGAACAACACAATACAATTCATGGTCTTAATCAGGGCAACAACAAGTAGATTTGCTGGTGGGATCAGTGCAACCTATGGGTCAGAACAACACAACACAATTCATGGTCTTAATCAGGGCGGTCAAACCATTTGATTTCTTTGGTTGTGTGTGAGATTCTGCCTTAATTTGACTAAAAACATGTTCATTTTTGATGTTTTAATGAACAAATTCAGTATTTTATTGATGGTAACTTTTAAACATTTTTCGCGCTGTGTCTATCCAGGAATCATATACAACGTGCAGGTGATGACTGGAGACCTGAGAGGCGCAGGCACCAACTCTAAAATCCACCTGGTGATGCACGGCTACAAGGGGCTTAAAAACAGTGGCAAGATCTTCCTGGAGGGAGGGGCCTTTGAGCGGGGCCTCATCGACATTTTTAACGTGGAAATTTGTGAACTGATCAGCCCACTGAGCCGAGTCACTATTGGACATGACAACGGGGCAGTTGGTGCCGGATGGTTCTGTGAAAAGGTTTTTTATTTATTTTTCTTACATGTGAGAGATTATTTATGAAACCAGTGTTGTTTACTAACCAGTTACTGCCGTTCCCTCAGGTGGTGATTTACTGTCCATTCACCGGCATCGAGCAGACGTTTCCATGTGGGACGTGGCTGGATGAGGATGAGGGGGACGGACTGATCGAGAGGGAACTGTATGAGATGGTGTCCCTCAGACAGAAGAAACAGAAGAGTACGTGTCTTCACTCCTGTGAGGGAGGTTCGATGTTGAACATGTTTTTATGTTGCTTAAGAAGATGATGAATTCTTTAAAATCCAGAGTTCCCGTGGTCTCTGTGGATCTGGACCTCGGATGTGAAGGGGGCCGGGACAGACGCCCAGGTTTTTCTACAGATCTATGGAGAAAAAGGCAAATCTGATGAAATCAAACTGGAAAACAACTCAGACAGTTTCGAGCAGGGCCAGCTTGATAAGTTCATGGTCAGATCCCAGTCATCCACTCAACACATTAGATTATATTTTTATACTGTGACGTTTTAGAGAAGGGCAGATTAAGTTTGATGTGTTTGTTTTCATTTTTTTTCTCTTTTTTTTATAACTGTAGATTGAGATGCCAGACATTGGACGACTGCTGAAGCTGCGCATCTGGCATGAAAAAAGACATCCATTTGCTGGGTGGCATTTAGCAAAGGTGAGAGCTGGAGCTGTGTGTGATCTACTAAAGGAGTGTGTCTTTTTTTATTTTAAAAGGTTATATCTGAAGTGACTTACTGAGAAATTGTGCATTTTATGTCAAAACCTGAAGTAGAGATTGAGACACGGACAGATTCGATGTTTAAGTTGTTTATGTTGTGACTTCCTGCAGGTCACTTTGCTAAAGACCCTGACGAATGAGAAATATTCTTTTGAATGCGGCCGATGGCTGGACATCAATGAAGACGACAATGAAATTGTCAGAGAGCTTCCAGCCACAGGAGCTCTCAGCGAGGAGCCTCTGCCCTGTGAGTAAAGACTAAACTGTACGTGTTGTCAAATGAAGGATCTGTGTTGGCCAACTGTGCTCTCGTGGTTCTCCTCAGTAATAAAGTACAGAGTCACCATCTGCACCGGTAACGTCAGCGGTAGCGGCACTGACGCCACCGTCTTCCTCAACGTCATCGGTGACCTCGGAGACACGGGGGAGCGGCTCATGATTATGAGCAAAAACAATGTCAACAAGTTTGAAAAGGGCAACGTCAGTGCAGAACGATCAGATCAACTGTGTGTCGACACGTGAGACTTAGATGATGGATTTTACTCAAATATATTTTCTTTACCCTCAGCACGATGAGTTCCTGATTGAAGCAGTATTTTTGGGCCTAGTGAATAGAGTGCGAGTTGGCCATGACGGTCGTGGAGGCGGCTGTGGTTGGTTCCTGGATAAAGTCATGGTCAGGGAGGAGGGACAGCCAGAGAGTATGGCTGTTGAATTCCCCTGTGACAGGCAAGTCAAGGAGGGAGTCTTCAACCCTGTTACCCCTGTATGTCATGTATGGACATGTACCTCCACTGCTGTAGTACTCAGCAGTATTAAAGACCAAAGAAAGAAAGTGTTTTAGACAAAGACAAATTTACATGTCCAGGTTATCCATCCATCCATCCATCCATCCATTTTCATCCGCTTATCCGTTACCGGGTCGCGGGGGCAGCAGTCGCCACCCAAATCACATTCCTGCAGGTGGTGAGTCCACTGGAAGGTACCAACCGCCCTAACCGGGTGTATATATGTCCAGGTTATTTCAATTAAATTAGATTAAGGAACTGGAAATCTCTTAATGTCCATACATGTCCATACAAAACACTTTTAGAAAACTAACCTGAAGAACAAACTGCTCTAAAAGTATTGCGTGTACCTTTATCTTGCTACGTATACGTTTCCTCTTTCACCAGTGGTATCTGTTGGAGTTGTTTCCAGTTGACGTCCGGGTTTGACCTTACAAATAGGCCCTAAGTGCTTGTGGTCAAGCAGCTGTCTCCTGAAGTAACCGGAGACAAACCTCAAGACTTAGTGCAGTGTTACTGTGGCAAACAGGCTCTTCCTGTCTCTCTGTCTGTCTCTCTGTCTGTCTGTCTCTGTCCTGTTGAAGGGAACAGAGCTGCCAATGCACAAAGTAAAGAAATGTTCACGTTAAGCAAGACTGAACGAACTTTCTGACATGATTTTAATCTTACCTTAAGTTAAATATGAATTTATTTTTAATATAAGAAGCTTGAATGATTCACACAGCAATTCACACAGGTCATTTTCACTGTTTTTTTTTTTGCTTCTACAGGTGGTTGGACCGTAATGAGGATGATGGACAGATAGTCCGGGAGTTAGTTCCAGCTGGAGATGGTCTACGTCTCTTCAGTGAGGATCCACAGCTCAAAATAACTATTTAAAAAAAAGCATGCTTTTTTTAAAGGCTTACATAAATTGATTTCTAACCCTGAATAAAACTCACTGTCAGACGTCAGCTACCACATATCCATCAAGACAGGAAATGTAAACGGGGCCAGCTCTGACTCCAGGGTGTTTGTGAAGCTGTACGGTGAGAAGGGCGACACCGATAAGGTGATACTTGCTGTGTCCGATAACGACCTCAGGAACTACTTTGAGACCGGTCGCACAGACACTTTCACCATCGAAACCTTTGACATTGGAAAGGCGAGTCCTCCAGATGAAAATGCACTTGAGAACATGGTGAACAGTTCAAGAACTTCTGTTGTTCCTAAAGTTGTCGTATTTTTTCAGATAAACCGTCTCCTTATCGGTCACACCAACGAGGGCCTGAGGGCAGGATGGTTTCTGGACAGCGTGCAGATCTCAGTGCCGGTCCATGGGCTGCAGTACATGTTCCCCAGTCATCGATGGCTCTGTAAAGACGAGGCTGATGGAAAAGTGGAGGTTGAGATCTATCCCAGTGAAATTCTGGACATTGAACAATGTAAAGAAACAACTTCTCCTGCACACGTGTGTACTGTGTAATTAGAATGAATCTGTTAAAAACAGATGAGCTTGACTTAAAGCTTTTGAACCGTTCTTGTACCTTTTCTGTCCCAGTGATCAACTATGAAGTAACCGTGGTAACTGGGGACGTTCGCGCAGGTGGCACCAATGCCAATGTTTTCTGTCAGATCTACGGAGACGCAGGGAAAACGGAGGTTCTCGCACTTTTGAGTCGGTCCAACAACTTTGAACGCAACACTGTTGAGATCTTTAAGGTGCCTTTTAAATATTCTCGTACTCGCCGGTGCATCAAATCCCTGTTGAAGAAGAACCAAGATGTGTATCATGTTGTCTCCCCCCAGATTGAGGCTCAGGACGTTGGAAAGATCTACAAGATACGCATCTATCATGATGGGAAGGGCATCGGAGACGGCTGGTTCCTTGAGTCAGTGGACATAAAAAAACTGACCACAGCAATGGTACAAGTTGAGGTGAAGAAGGAGGAGCCGAAGAAAGACAAGAAGAAGGACAAGAAAAAGAAAAAGAAAGAGGAAGAGGAGGAGGTGGAGATAATTGAGCAGCTCAAGGAAGTGGTGGAGACTTTTTCCTTTCCTTGTGGCCGCTGGCTGGCCCGAGATGAGGAGGACGGAGAGATAGTGGTTGAGCTGCTGTCAGAGGACGATGAAGACCTGGAGAGTATGTACAGTAGAAGCTGCAGGTTTTCCTTAGACCCACTGTTGTTTTTTAGTATGATAATGTTGTTGTCAAAATTCCAAACTTAATGCTTTTGTTTTTAGTAAACTCATATGAGGTCCACGTGTTCACGGGAAATATGTGGGGGGCTGGAACTGATGCCAATGTTTACGTCAACATCTACGGAGAGACTGGTGACACAGGCGAGCGGCGACTTAGGAAATCCAACAACTTAAACAAGTTTGAGAAAGGCCAGGTGGGTTCTGTTTGTGTGGATGTTACCAGTCACTTCCTAAAACATCAATTTAAGAATCAGAATCCAAAATAATTTTTTTGATCCTTAGGGGGAAAATTATTGGTGTCACAGATGCTACTGGTAGAGCATTTTAAAAACAGCAACATAAATGCACAACATAAATGGCAACATATTTATAAAATACAAAAATAAGTCACAACAATAAAAATACGTTAAATAATATCGATTACCATAGAGGGAGGAGTCTAATGGAGTCTAACTCTCTGTGAGTAGAATATGGCGGTTGCTTCTCAGTCTGTGGATGTGAATCTCTGTCCAAGACAGACCCAATGTTCTACTGCAACAAAGCAACAGTCGGATTGTCTTCCAGGGACATGTTGGACTTCTGGGGTCTTGTATTCTAATAAATATTGAATGAATGAGGATCTTGTGTCCTACCATCCTGTAGTTGGTGACTGTTTGTCATCTTTTTTGTTTTGTTTCTCATTTTGGCATATGCACCAAGGTGGACATTTTCAGCATCACAGCAGTTGACCTGGGTGTCCTGAAGAAGCTCCGAATCCGACATGACAACAGTCAGGCCAGCGCTGGATGGTTTTTGGACAGGGTGGAGATTGTGGATGAAAAAGATGACACCACGTAAGTCATGGTGATAAAGGCAGTGACCGATTTAACTATCGGAGAGCTCCACTCCGTGGTGTTAGAGGGTACTACAATTAAAAATAAACTAGATTACAGAAGGCCAGAACATTTAACAGTACTACAGTAAATACTACTACTTACTGGTGGTGTTGTAGGTACTTTTTCCCATGTAAACGTTGGCTTGCTGTTGATGAAGATGATGGACAGCTGGCCAGAGAGCTGGTTCCTGTGGATGAGGCCTTTATGAAGAAGGGGGATGATGATGATGAGGAAGAGTCTGAAGCCACACTTGGTCTGGAACAAAAAGGTGAGAAATTACACTGTGAAGAACTTAAATTTGAGTTCTGCTTGATGTTAAATTATATGCATATTTTTTATTCTACATGGCAGCGATGTCAACCACATACACAGTACAGGTGAAAACTGGAGATAAAAAATATGCAGGAACAGATGCCAATGTTTTTATGATCCTGTATGGAACAAAGGATGATACGGGTAATATTTTAACACGTGACACTGCTATTTTTTGCTATCGTCTGTGTGAATATCTACTCAGACTAAACACATTTTCTGTGCTAACTGACAGGGATCATTAATCTAAGGGCCTCGAAGACTCACAAGAACAAGTTTGAAAGAGGTATGATCGATGAGTTCACTGTGGAAGCTGTCGACCTGGGCCCTCTGAAGAAGCTGCGTATTGGACACAACAACTGTGGTATAATAGCACCGACTGCCAGTCACAGAGGGAAACACAATATTATTCAACACTAACCCGTGTCATTGTTGAAGGAGGAGGATCAGCCGGTTGGTTCCTTGACTGGGTGGAGGTCGATGCCCCGTCTATGGGACAGAAATTGCGCTTTCCCTGCGGTCGTTGGTTGGACAAGGGGGAGGACGATGGCGTCATCGTCAGGGACCTCTTCATTAATCCTCTCCAGACACAGCTTTACACACCTTGTGAGTAAATGTTCACTGTCCCTGAGTTGACAAACATTTCATGTGATGATATTGTTGGTTACAATAAACATATTTTTGATTTGTAGTTGTTCCCTATGAGATTAAATTCTTCACCGGTGACCTGTTTGGAGCTGGCACAAATGCAGATGTCTTCATCGTCCTGTATGGTAGAAATGCCGTGTGCACACAGCAAAAGTCACTCTGTGTAAACAAGAGGGAAAGGAAGATGTACTTTGAAAGAGCAGCCGAAGATATGTTTATTGTTGAGGTACGAGCACATATATATATATATATAAGATATATTTAGAGTAAAATAACTTTAAAATTTGAGTGTTTTGTTATGTTGACTAAATGGGTTATGTTATGTGCTCTGCCCTGTGTGCAGTTACAAGATGTGGGGGATGTAATTGAAAAGATTCGAATCGGTCATGACAACCGCGGGGTGAACCCAGGCTGGCATCTGGACAGGGTGGAGATCAGGCGACTGCTGAGAAAGGGGAAGGTGAGGATCAAATTTGACAGCAAGGAGGAGGAGGAGGTGCTAAACATTATTATGCAGTTCATTATGTTGTTTGTAGCCTGTGTTTATTTTTAGATTGCGTTGTTCTTGGCCACCACTGAGCTGAAGATCTGCCCTTCAAGTATAATAGGTTTATTGTAGGTGTATCTCGTACAAAGTAATTTAAACACTTTGATATGATTACATATTTCAGTAAAATACACATCCATATACAGTATTATACTGTATTTCTATGAGCATTAGTGTAATGTAGCGATACCTGTTATTATAACATTAGACCACGAGATGGAGCTGTTTTCCCCACAGCTGAGAATCATCCTGCAACCTTTTCAAAATGTCTCCTGATGTGTACATGAGCTTTGACAGAAGGAGAAACAGAAATAAAATTTCACTTTATGTCGTTGAAAAAAAGTATAGTATATATTTTTTTCCTGTACATTTCCGACTGTAGGGATCAGAGACCGTCATCTTCCCATGTGAGCGCTGGCTGGCCAAGTCAGAGGATGATGGAGAGATTATCAGGGAACTGGTGCCTTCTGACATCATCACTGAGAAGCTGTTACGAGATGGAAATCTGAAAGTCAATGAAGTGGAAGTTGAGGATGCACTTGAAAGTCAGTTCACGTGAATTGTGTTTATAAGCAACACGCATACTAAGCATATTTCTCCATTTTGTCTCCATCCTTAAAATAATAATTTTTAGTCAGAAATGCTTTCCGTGACAAGGGCATGGAAGACTGACATTACCGTTACTTTTAACTGTGTTGCCTTTTTAGTGGATGTTGGTTTATTGGATCTCCTGTGTCCTTGTTTCTCATTGTCCTTGTCCTCTTCATTACACCCACTACAGCTCATACATATAAAGTGTCAGTGATGACGGGTGATTTGAACGGAGCTGGAACTGATGCCAATGTCTTCCTGACAATTTATGGTGACCTCGGTGACACCGGGGAGAGGAAACTCGGCAAGTCGGAAACAAACAACAACAAATTCGAACGAGGATGTGTAAGAAAGAAAGTCTCTATTCATCAACGTTGCAAATACAAACACACGCTAGTCCAACCTGAACATTTTTGTACATTTTTTAATCACGCCCAGGTGGACAAGTTCACAATAGAAGCAGTGGATCTCGGACAGGTGTTTAAGATAAAAATCCGGCATGATAACAGTATGATGAACGCAGACTGGTACCTGGACCAGGTGGAGGTGTTGGACGTGGACACGGAGGAGGTTTTCCTCTTCTTATGTGAACGCTGGTTGTCCAGGAAGAGGGAGGACAGACTGATCCAAAGAGTCTTCTATGTAAAGGTAATAAGAAAGATAAACCAAACTCTGAAATACACACAACATGTAAAGAACTAAGACACACACCAGCAGCTCTCTGCACAGCATAACTACCAGAGGAGCAACAGAGCGACAGAGATCTTTATGAATATTATGATATAACATTACTGGCTAGAAATAACCAACAATTCCCTGCTTTAATACAGAAAAGCGAGAGATCCGGTCTCCGGAATACAGAAAAGCGAGAGATCCGGTCTCAAAACAAAACAACAACAAAAACAACAAAACAAAACGTATATCACAAAATTATCTTTATAAAACAAAACACTACACAGTCCATTTCAAAAGACTTTTTGGAGGGTTTTAAAAATGTTCAGATGTTTTTTCTGGTTTATGAATACTGTATTCTTGTTGTATAACCAAAGGCATGGTTTTGATGTGTTTGTCCTAGGGATATGAAGGAGTGAGGGAGAGTGTAAACAGCAGGAAGAGCTCTGCTCTCTCGGTGAAGAGTGTTGACAGTAACATGAATAAAAAGAACAAAAAGAAGAAGGATGAAGAGCAGACGGAGCTTCCAAGTAAGAAAAACCAAGACTCACCGCCTGCCTGCTTCATCCACAGCCCTGAAAATCCTAATGATCTATATTTGAACACAGAGCTGTTCTACATCATGTCAAGCTGTTTTGATCAAGTGCTGTGTCCTTTCCTCTGAAGTCATACCTTACCACGTTAACATCTGCACCGGATTGGAACGAGATGCCAACACCACCAGTCGGGCTTATGTGATCATTATCGGGGCCAATCACACCCAGACAGAGAGGCTGTGGCTGGACCTGCCTGATGGAAGGAAGGGCTTTGAGGCTGGCTCTCTGGAGAGCTTTGAGTCTCATGGTTTAGATGTGGGAGAGATGAAAAAGGTGGAGGTGAGGATAAGGGAGAGGCTGTTAAAGTTCCTATGCTGGCCGTAGCCTTGCACTGAGTCGCAGAAAAATGCACCGTATTGCTCAGATTGATTGTTTCTCTGCCTCCCTCCAGCTGGGCCATGATGGGGCCACTCCTGAGAGCTGCTGGCTGGTTGATGAGCTGTCGGTCGCAGTGCCAACCAAAGGAGTCAAATATATTTTTTCTTGCAAGTGCTGGCTGGCCAAAGATCGAGGAGATGGTCTGACTGCTCGATTATTTAATGTTCTGGATGCAGAGGCCGTTTTCATCTCTCAGAAGGTTTGGAACTTTGAATGAGTGAACAGACAGACAGCAAACATCACAGTCTAACTTCCAGTTGTGTGAATATATATATTTATATATAATCTGACTATATACTGGATTCACAGTTGACAAAAAGTTCAGTTTGTTTTACTAAGTACAGTAATATATTTTTGAACATAATACCTTTCAGGAGAAAGATATAACTTTGCACTCAGAAAAGATTCCAAATATGGGTTAAACTTTGCACTCAGAAAAGATTCCAAATTATTTTATATTAAGTATATCTCAATGAAAGGTCACTATCACTATGTCAAACTCATATGATATATGTTTTATTTTGGTCAGCAAAGGGAAGTCCTTGAAGCACACACTGTACCTGTATGTCTTTTTAGCTGGAGCTTTTGTCTAGTTTCAATGGCAACAGCTTGTTGTTGCCACTTGACATGAAAACGTATTCACACAGGTTATCTACGAGGTGACGGTGGTAACGGGAGACGTGCAAAACGCCGGGACAGACACTCAGATCTTCATGTCTGTGTTTGGGGTCAATGGCAGCACAGAAGAGATGCTGCTGGAGAAGAATGAGGACAGGTAACCACAAACAGTATGAAACCATAAGCAGGGTTTCATCAGTCTTTTTCAATGAAAATCTGTTGTTCATGTGGAAGGTTTGAGCGCGGTCAGGAGGACACTTTCAACATGGAGATTGATGACATCGCTCCTCTGAAGAAGATGAGGCTCCGCATCGACGGATCTGGCAGTCGACCTGACTGGTTTGTGGACAAGGTGAGCTGAGATTAAATCAGGGGTCACCAACCTTGGAACTGAGAGCTAATTCAAGTGTACTCAGTAATAGTGATGTTCGATACCACCAATTTCCTTTCCGATCCGATACCGAGTAAAATTCGGGCTGGTATCGCCGATACCGATATCGATACCGATATTTTATCATTTGTCTTTAAGAATCCAAGGCAGAGTTTATTTATTTATTGATTTATTTTAAACTCTGGACTGAGGTAGCTGCCTCATTTACTATACAGTCAACACAACAATAGAACACAATCATATAAATCATATAAATCATAAATCATATAACAAAAATAAATAAAAAAATAAAATAAATAATCTGAGGAGCCATTTGGGACCCGAAAGAGTCGGATTTTTTCAGTGAACCGAGCCAAAAGAACCGGTTCTCCAAAAAAGAGCCGAAATTCCCATCAATAGTGACTGAGTGAGAGCACGGAGTAGAGCCCCTGTGCTTACGCATGACGCACACACCCAGGCGGAAGAAGAAGTAGTCCCACCAACCGAGCGTCACTTAGACAACATCTCAATAATTTGGATACTTTTCACCATGTTTCTGTTTAGGATACACCTCATCTCAGAATGCGAAAGTATCAAAAGTATCGATATTTTGATTTCAGAATCGATTTCAGAGCATAAAGATCCAGAATCGGAAGTATCGATATTTCAGGATCGATCCGCACATCACTACTCAGTAATACGAAGAGCTACTTGTTATAATGTTATAATAATCAGTTCCGGGACATACAATAGCCAACACTCTTCTAACCAATTATCATTGTAAGTGTAACTGATTCAAAAAGCACAGTAACAGTACAAGTTTTGACCCTCTTTTTGACTAGTTATATTTTTAGAACATACCCCCGGGCACCTCCTTGGTGACCACTGGATTAAATAAATCTACAGCAGTGACTGTTTGTATGTTCAAGTCCTCAACATGTTCAAACTGAACAGTACTGAACAGTGTGTAAACTCAGACCACTCTGAGCCCTTGTTTTAAACAGTCATGTTCTGTCATGTTGGCCTGTTGTTCCATTACTCTCTCGGGTCCTACACACACACACACACACACACATCTGCACATGTGCAGTCGATGACTCAGTCGTCTACAACATCACACACGTAGACAGCAGGGCCCAAGGTTCCTGGAGTGAGCATATTGACTCATTCACCATGCTGTCACTGGCAACTCTAGCTCCCTCTCTCTCTCTCTCTCTCACTCATACACACACACACTGCGAGAGCGAGAGAGAGAAAGGCTTAGTAATGAGCTCTGTGTGCTTGCTTTCAGTAACGTTCATTTTATATTTGCTTTCACTGAAATTGATGTGCGATGGAGCAGATGTTACCGTCTCACAGTCAGCTTGATAGCTGACTGTGAGACGGCACTCGGCGCCAAATTCAGCCTGACGCCTTGAACCTGCGTCTCTGATAAAGCACAGCACATTTTCTTAACGCTCATGTCCACTCCACTGTAAAGGCACCGTCCGTGCCTGCAGCGTGGACGGGAACAATCCCAGGCCCTGTCCTCCTGTGCCGGGGACTTAGCCACTGCATACATCTCTTCAATTGACGCTGCAGAGAGCCATGTGTGTCCAGCATCACAAGCAGATGTGCTGTCTTTACGGTTTTCGGAGACTGTGTATTGAGATTGACAGGAGATTGCTGCCGAGTGATCTGCCCGCATACTAATCTTCCCAGATAAATATGCAGTAGAGAGTGAATGTGAGAGTGAATGTCTGGGCCCACTGTGCATTAATGATAGCTTCTCTGCACAAGTCATCACACATCCTGGTGGAGAAAAAGGGTTTGAATATTAGTGATTTGTCTGTACCAATGATGTAGCTTCAATAAAAGCAGTGGTAAATATCATTCTTGTCAGTCACTTGTCAGTCATCCAGGATGTTTCATTTGTAGCAGTTTAAGTGGAAGGGATCTTCAAAAACATTCATCATTCCACGGTTTTTGTTTTTGTACCATGTTCATGTTCAGGCAGCAGAAGCATAAATGTTGCTGTCTGATGTGATGTACCAGACTCTGAGGCACAGAACACAACCTTACACAGTGTTTTGGCACAGAACTGGAGAGCACTCACAGCATCATTTGAACAATTATTTTCATTGTGCCTAAAACCACAGGGTTTAAAAAGCAAAAATCACTGCAAAATAATAGAAAAAGGAATAAGAAAAACAGACAGAACTCACGTCTGATATACAATACAAATGACTGATTAGTATAACCTTAAACATTGGTACACTTCTCTTCACTCAATAGTCAAACACATAGACCATTGGTTCCCAAAGTGGGAGGCTGGGCCCCATGAGTTGTACAAGTATTGTCAAATTTATGGTTATATTAATTTCCGTCAAACAAACAAAAGCACTGCTGGTATTTTATTGTTGAAATTTGAGCAGCACCAATGGCCTGAATATGTGATTTTTCAGCAATATCAGTAATAATCTCTGGTTGATTCAGCTGGCTCTGTCTCTCTCCAGGTGATCATGCGTAACTTGACCACAGAGGAGGTTTCTGTGTTCACCTACGAGGATTGGCTGTCCAAGACGCGAGGACCCAAGAGGACCATGATCTGTGAGATGGCGGCTGTAGTCGATGAGGAGATAATGGTGGAGCTCACCACCTACATCGTTCAGGTCAAGACCAGTGATGTGGCAGGTAACTGTAACTGTCAAGTAAACAATGATAATTACCTTCGTCATTTATCCGATTACACTTCCTGTAAAAACCTTTACAAACTGTCAGTACTGACAGTCCACCAGCAGGTGGCCATGTTTGAATTGTTGACTAAAAGGTGTAACATGCTAGTTTTTATGTTTTAAAAATAACATTCTGATGATGAAGAGGAAAAGAAAAGAAGAAAGGAGAAGAAAAGAAGATGGAGGACGGAAACAGAAGGAGAAAAAGAAATAGAAAAAAGAAAAGAGGGAAACAATAGAAAGTGAGAATAGAAAGATAGAAATGATAAAAAGAAGAACAATAATTAGTCCCTGTTAATCATAAACCAGGAGACTGACCTGATGCAGCAACTTGCCTCCATGAAGAGAGAACATCAAGATTTAAAGATATGTCAAGAGAAAAAAAAAAAAAAAATCATGGATTCTGGTGAAATCCTCAGCGTGCTGCTGTGATACAGATCAATCAGATGGTATGTGGAGAGGTGGGGGCCGACTTCAAAAGCCTGCTCTCTGCCCCTGGCTGATGCAGGCTGATGCAGAGTTCTGCACCACTGATGTGATGGTGCAGAGAATAATTAGAACGGCTGATGGACAACACATGCGGTCAACATGGGCGGGGTCTGTCCATGCAGCCGTGTGATTGGGGTGAGAGGTTTGAAATTACACTCATCATCAGAAGGTAAAAATACATACTTGTTGTAATTAACGCAGAGTGGATTCAGAAATTCTGTTGGCAGAAACATCTGTCTCTTTAAATGTCCACTCAGTGGGATGCATGTGGGTCTACAAAAGCCAGCAGATTTTTGTTCTTCTGCCTGGCAACCATAAGTACAAGTGAATTGTAAATCTACAGAATTCAGTTTCGATTTGACTTACATTTTTTGTTTTTGTTTTATGGGAACCTGGATTTCAGGTGCATGTGTCTAAAGAAGAAACTTTAAAGGTGTAGTGTTTACATGCATTATCACAGCACAGCCACAGTAATGCATGGTGAGCCACAGTAGCAGTCTGGAGCCGGCAGTAAAAGGATATTCAGTAAACATCACCTGGGACCATTAGGACGACTGAGTGCAATGTTTGTGAAAATGAGGGTGTTTGAAAACAGCAGGTGAAAACAGTGTGTTTATCCTGTACGGCCACTGATGCATTGGAAGAATCTAATGGATGAAACAGAGGTGATTGTCAGCACTAACATCACTAACATATCGATGAGTGGGTTGACAAGACGTATAGGAGACCAAGTGTCAAGTGTTTAGAGTTGTTACAGGGGGTTAATTAAAATATTGGCTTTCCATCTGAGTGAATGGACAGAGGGGGCGCTGCCCGCCGAATGCTATGTAATGAAATAATAATGCATTGAGCACAAAGGGATAATTAGATGTGCTGTGTGAGCCGCAGAGCACATCTCTCCCAGCTCCTCATTATCCTGTGATTAGATGTGTGCCGATCATTTTCCACAGGGACTTTCAGTCCGTGTTCATCAGCAGTTCAACAAATCTCTGCTGCAGATGCTGCTGGGAGAAAGAAGGTCTTTTTCACTCTGTGTATTCGTTCGATCCTGATCTTCTAGTTCAGTATGGGTTAAGGTTTGACGATGTCAGTTTATTATTAAACTGAAGCCAAATTCACAAAAAATGATGGACTTTACAGTTTTTACATCAGATTAATTAGAATTAAGACAATTCTCCTAAAAGTGAACAGTCATATTATGTTGAGCTTGTATTTCAATTCAAAGTAGAGCTGAAAAAGTTTGGCAAATATTAATGAAAACCAAATTAGATCACACACTGAACTGAAGTGTTTTAACAGGAAGAAATCTCCAGCAGATCCAGACTCAGTGTTAGGCCGTCTGCCTCTGTGTTTAATTCAGTGCAAAAGAACTGGAAAAAAGTTTGTACTTTTATTTTGTTTTGTTTTTTTAATCTGTCCATGTCATTAGGAGCTGGTACTGATGCCAACGTTTGGGTCATCATCTTCGGTGAGAACGGGGACACGGGGACACTGGCACTGAAAGAATGCAACAAGTCCAACAAGTTTGAGCGAAAGCAAGTGGACACATTTCGCTTCTCAGAAATCCTCAGCCTGGGAGAACTCTCCAAAATAAGAGTCTGGCATGACAACACAGGTCAGATCGTGACCTTTACATTCAACAACTATTATTTTAATAGTCAATATTAGGTAAAAAAAAAGACAGCATTTAATTGACTTTTCTAAATAAGGCAGTGGAGGCCTTCATTTGTCTTGTTTTGTTGGTAATTAAATGGACACAGACTTATGGACTATCCTGGAAATTGCTCGTGTCAGTCTTGATTGATTACTCTGGACGTGTTCGCTCCCTTCTCTGTCTCCAGGACTTGCTCCAGGATGGCATTTGGATTACATCGATGTAAAGGACGAGCTCCTGGACAAAACCTTTCGTTTCCCTTGTGACCGCTGGCTCGCCAAGAATGATGATGACGGGCAGATAATGAGAGAACTGGCCTGCGCTAACAACGACTACTTAGACCTCAACGAGAAGACCAGTAAGACGGCAAATATCCCACCGCCTTAAATAAACACGAAATGTACATTTTCACATGTACAGAAATTCAGCCAACTGTGTCCATGTTCTCATCCTTGAAGAATATGAAATTTGTGTCAAAACTGGAGACACAGCGGAGACCAAAGAAAACGTCTGGATTGTTCTTGAGGGGAAAAAAGGAAGATCAAAAGAATTCATAATGGAAAATTCCTCCAAGAAGAAAAGGTTCTTAAGGTAAACACAGACAGCATCCACCTCCGCTTTTCGGCCTCTTAGCACTAGTTTCTTTAGCTCAAGACATAGTAGAAAATCCATAATCCTCCATTAAACCTTTATCTGGAAAATATGTGTTTACACAGGAAACATTTGTTTGAAAAGTTTAACAAAGACAAGTGCTACTCCCACGTTTCTTCACAATGTTTTTTCAGGGGAAATGTTGACCGATTTGATTTTTCGTCCAAGAATGTGGGAGACATTGTTGGTATCTGTCTGGGTCACATTCCTAAAGATGGAAAGAAGGTGAAGGCGGAGGCTCACTGGCATGTGGAGGAAGTGGCCATCACTGAGAAAGAACTAGGAAACAAGTAAGACAAACGCTTTTAAGTTCTGGTTTAGGGCTGCATTCCAGCCAATGGGATTGACATCACGCAGTACTGTGATCATCCGTCATTTCCTGTTTACTGTCTACTGTTGTTGGTAACCAACATTACTCTCCTGTTAACGCTCAGGTACGTCTTCAGCTGCAACGCTCTCATCCCTCTCTCCACTAAGAGAGACGACCCAATGACCTTCGAGTGCACCAAGACATTTGAGAGCTTCGCCAGCAAAGCTCGAAGCCTGGTCCCCATCAAGTACGAGATCATCGTCATCACAGGTGACGAGAAGGGAGCAGGAACCGACGCCAATGTTTTCATCACCATCTACGGCTCCAACGGAGATTCGGGCCGCCGGCAGCTGCGGCAGAAGTTTCGCAACCTCTTCGAACGGGAGCAGACGGATCGCTTCCTGCTGGAAATGTTGGACATGGGAGAGATGCAGAAACTCCGCGTGGAGCACGACAACTCGGGGCTCAGTCCTGGTTGGTTGCTGGATCGTGTGGAGGTGACAAACACGGCCAATGGTGTCACCACCATTTTTCTCTGTGGCAAATGGCTGGATACGAAGAGGGCTGATGGGAAAATCAGCAGAGTCCTGTTCCCGAAATACTGAGCACAGTTAGAACAGCGTTCCCAATGTTAAAGATTATTGACCAAAGAGATTTTTTGTTTTGTTTTTTTATCTCACAAACTGAGACAGATTTTTATATATAAACCTTTTTTTTTAAATGATCATTCAGATATTTTATTACGTAAACGCATAAAAATTCAGCTTTTACTGGAATTATTAAAATACACCAATGTGCCATTCTTTTTAAATACAAGGATGGTTTGTTTACCCGTTTTGTCAAAACGAACATTTTATAACGTATTAAAGTGTTTTTTAGTACTGTGGTTGACTCTCCAATGGATCTATAAACAACTGAAACGAAATAGTTTTTGCTCTAAAATGGAGGTGATACTCTTCATGCCGTGAGCCTTTCACAGTCTTCCAGCTCACTCTATTACTGTTGTTACTCAGCCAGATTTGCAGCGTGTGTCAGTTTCACCTCATTGCTCTTAACAAGCTATTTTAAGTCACAGCCACTGCTCTCTTGAGTTTAAAGTGTTTTTTTTTTTTACTCCTTTTAAACTCTGAATCTGCTGAAGATAACAGTACATTTGTTTTTTGTGTCGTTTAGAGCCGTTCGTCCACCAATCAACCACTCAGTGTGAAGGACGAACGAGTGTAGATGTGAGAGTAGGAGACTCTGCAGAGTGAAAACCGACGACGAGGAGAGGAGGAAGAAGGAAAGACGAGTGAGGGAATAAATGAATCCTGGACGCAGACATAAGTAAGAGGAAGAGAGAGTGCCCCCAGCAGTCTAGGCCTATGGTTAGATGGAGTCAGCATGTACAGGATCCATACAAGGAGCTGGTTCTAAAGTTGAGAAACTGTTACGTCATGAGAAGCAGCCAGAACCCAAGTGCAGTAACTCATGACAATGATCCTGGAAGACAGAGTGAGGAGAGAGAGATAGTTCACACCCAGGGCACCAGGTGACACGAGTACCACTAATGACAGAGACACAGGTGAGTGTGATCCCACTGATTAAGTCAATAACACACAGGAGGAAAAGAGAGAGAGAGAGAGAGAGAGCTCACAGAAACCTGGTAGAAAGACGTTACCACTGCCGTTCCTAATTTTCATCCTTTGGGGGTACAACAAGAACAAATGTGAGTTTGATTTCAATAATAATAATAATAATAATAATAATGCTGCTGTTATTTTTCACTGTCATTTGAAAAGTTTGTTTTTTACATTTTTTGTTTCAATTTGAGCAATGGTAAAAAAAAAAAAGGTAAAAATGTATCAGCTAATCATCAGCTATCAACTAGTAATGTGTATGTAAGTCAAACATGATTTTTTTTTTCTTATTTAACGTTGTAATAACACAGTGTGTGTGTCAACTGTGATGCCTAAAAGCAAGAGAACGCAGACGGTAATGGCGGTTTTTATCAGATTTATTACAAAAAGAGCACATACAAAAGGATAATATACAGGCCATGAATTCAAATAAGAAAAAAAACAAAAAAACAGTTTGGGTTTAGCAATGCAACTTTTGAAACCATTATCATTATTAGTAATAGTAATAATAAATAAAGTACAAAATTCCACCAAATGAAATCTAACATTTACCCATAATAAGCTCATCCATATCTTCATTAACACACTCATCACCATTAATGCGCTATTGCTTTAATATTAATGATAAATACTTCTATTTCCAGATAAAATATCCTATATTGAAAAAACATTGCGCAATCACAGCTAAACAGCAGATTTTCATACAAGAATGGCGGCAGCCCTTTCACTGGCACTTTTTGGGATTTTTCTCTTCAGGTTTGTTTTTCAGATTCAAGCAGCGACGAAATTAATATCATTTTTTTTTTTAAGTTATACTCTTTCTATATATTTCCCCATATACTATTAAACCATCCAGACTATATTGAAACCTGAGAAAACATGCATTTTTAGAAAAGGTTGTGCTTTGAGATTCTTGCCTTCCTGTTGACTGTAAAAAGAAACAGGACAGAGTCTGAAAAGAAAGAGCAGAGAGCTAAAAAAAACAAAAATAAAAATGCATGAAATAGAGCCCATAATGTAAAATATCTCCATTGTTTGGAAATATAATACAAAACATCATCTAATTTGGACAGTTTGTTTTTGTATAAAATGGCTTTTGTCGTCACAGACTTCACCCATTCTTTAAATTGCGCCCAACGAGACGTAATGGCTGCAGATATTGATTGTTCTGTGTTGATGGTTTTAATAATATGGAGAAGAAGAAAAACAATTTTTCTAACACTTAAAGCGAGGCACTTGTTATGCATAAGTCTAAAAACTACCCTGGAAAACGAACTGAAGAGAAACAGCAGAGAAATTGAAATGTAATGATTCCTAAAGCAGAGAAACGTCACTGATGATTCGACTGATTTAAGACCCACAGTGCACTGTGTATGAAAGAGAGATTTAAAAAACAAACAAACTAACAAACAAACAATCCAGTGTTCTCTACAAGAACATACTAGCTCTTTGCCAGTGAGAGGGTTCCCATATTTTAACAAGTGAGTGCAAAAGAAACAAACTAAAACCAATTCACTCCATTGCAGTTTGTCCACTACATCACAGCATGGGGGATCTGAGAAATTGCATTGAATGGAATGTAACCAAGATCCACAGCACCACATGAGGGAAAAAGAGAGCGAGAGACAGACAAAGAGAGAGAGAGAGAAAGAGAGAGAGAGAGTGAGAAGGCTCATTAGCTTAGCCTCGGACAGTAAACATCACACAGCCGGCTTGTGGAGATCAAACAGCAGGTCTAATATTTTCTTTCTTTTTTTTCTTTTTTTTTTTAAAGAACTTTCAGTGTTCTAAAAAGTACAACTGCATGCAGAGCATTCCCGTTTGAAACGATGCCAAAAATGAGGTAATAGTTTTTTTTTCATAGCATTTTTGTGTTATTTCTAAATAAATAAATTATGATTCAGGCATCCTCCAAAAAAAAAAAGCTATACAAATTAAATACATACCCACGATATCTACAGTTAGTAATAAATTATGATTGTTAAATACTTAAGGCATCTCAACTGACAAAACACCCTGTGTAAACTATGAAAAACGTCGTCACAGATGACTCCACTAAAAGAGGAGGCAGTGTCAACACTGGCAGTGCACGAGACAAAAAAAAAAAAAAAAGATTTAATTGGCCGACGAGGTTCAGAGGAACGTACGGTTAGGTTTTGTCTTTGATTCTCACAGTGCAGAGGACAGTGAGGGTCCATAATAAAGCAGCCATTAGCTCACAGCCCCGCCGAGTTAAAGACAGGCCAACAACATTAATAAATAAATAAAAAAAAAAGGAGTAAACAGGGGAAACCAAGATCTGATTTTCTGGCCTGAATGTTCTCCTGCCGTCTGGCCGTCTCATGTCTGTGTGTATGGCAAGCTGCGTTGACATTTTATGGCTCAGTCAAATCCTATTCTGAGATGTATAAATCTTTTGTGAATTTAACAAGGGATGTCCGATAATATTGGCCGTAATTGTTGGATGCCAAATATGTAAATCAGGACTTTCAGTTTGAATTTCAAACTGTAAAAGTGAAGGTTCCCAAATGGAAAATTTAAACTAAAACTTCCATTTTGAATCGCTTTTTCATAGCTATCTATTGCACATGGAAATGTTAAAACAGCTTGCCTCCTGTGTGCACTGTGAGAGGGAGGCTGCCTCCGTCACTCCACATTCTACATTTTCTAGTTATACAGCATAGCAACCACGAGGGGAGATCTGTCACAAAAATACACAAGATCAATACACAAGCTCCTCTCTCAGCTCAAACACTGCTGGAATCTAGATCTAAATACAAACCAATGCAACACCAATGGTTAAAAAAACAACATTTGTGGCTGTAACTGTTGTCACATGTGCTTGTTCTTTAGGCGAAAAAGTGTTAGCTCCCTAAAAGAAGATCCTATATTTCGTGGAGCTGGATGAACACAGGCTACAAGTCAAAGGATCCTTTGCGGACGCCGTGCTCACGTCGTCGTCCGTCTGTTAGTGTTAAAAGGATAGTCAGAGCTCAGACTAACTCAGTCATGCACGGCAAACTCTCCCAAAGTGTAATAACAGCAACAAGCTCGCAGCCCTAGTCGAGGAATAAAGATTTTTTTTTTTTTTTTTTTTTTTTTTCAGCTCACAATCTTCTGCCACTGGCCCTGCGCCAGATGAAGGTGCAGGTATGAGAGCAGCTGAAACATCCTCCCACCTCACTCTCACTGCAGTTAGTGCATCATAGATATATTTTTTTTATTTTTATTTTTTTTGGCTTTTTGTTATATAAGCAATCCAGCGGCCATGCTAGTGAGCCTCGGTCGAACCTGAAAACATTTAGACACACGTTTCAAGTCACCTTATCTCAAGTCAGTGTTTGTCAAATGGTCGGTGCCGATCCTGTCAGGTGTTTTTCTGCACCCTGTATTTGAACTGCAGCTTGTTTCTTACAAAATAATCAAAAGTAATTGATAATAATGACAAGAGCTTTTTTTAAAAAAAAAGAAAGCTCACCATCCAAGCATTGTCTGCCATTATGTGGCTGAGTTTTAGGAAAGAAATTGAGCAATTTTCCAAACTTGAAACTGCTCTTCCAGATCAACAAGTACCAGTCAGTAGAGCAACGTTTTAGAGCAACAAAGACCCGGTCGTCGTACTGTCAGTTTTCTGTCACAAAGCAAATCTACGTCAATCCTTTTACATTTTACCATGTTTAAAATGTCATTACAAATGCTACGCAACATAACCTGGTCACTGGACGCCTTTGTGTGTTGAATTTGGTCAGTGTGAAAACCTAGTATAACAAACTTCTGTTCCCCTTCTGGTTACTTCTGGTACAGCGTGTGCTAATTATTGTGTTTAAACCACAGCTGTGTGAGGATACAGGATGAGGACCACTACATCCAGGGACAGATCCCATAGAATCAATTCAGTTTGATCATTGGGACGTGATCTGAAGTGAGTTGCAGAGATAACAGTACTGTAGTTCGTCAGCATGTACTGCACATCTCTGGATGTTAAAGACTAAAAGAATGCTATTGCTGATTGTCAATGGGCTAAAGATTGGAGGCACCAGAGTTTCTCTTTGACCATTTAGCAATCAGCTCTATTAGAGCTCAGCTGCACTACTTCAAATACATCTACGACCGGTGCAGTACAGGTCAGAACTACAGCTGCAAGTCATTGATGAATACATGGGATTTTTGTTCATCATACAGAGGGAAAGGATTGGACAAGTAGGGTACAACAGGTTGGGTTTTTTTTTTTGTATGTGTTCATGTTGCGTAGCACCTGTAATCATATTCTGAGCAAGTCAAAGTGCAAAAAATGTCATTCTTAAACCTCTGTTTGGTAGCAGTCAGGCTAGAACTGCCGTGGGCAAACTAAGGCCCGGGGGCCCGGATGCGGTCGGTTCACTAAGGCCCGGGGGCCGGATGCGGTCGGTTCAGCTTTTTAATCCAACCCACCAAACGTTTCTAAATTATATAAATTATTTATATTTAATGTATTGTTATTAATTAATAAATAAATTAAAATACATTTCTCTACTCTCTGAGCTGAAAACACAAGGATCGATTTCTGATCGGTTTCATAAAACCATCAATAATTTCATTCAACAACGGGGGTCACGACCGGAAGGTAAACTGCAGACGCAGGGACCTGACCATTTGAAAAAGCACTGCTTTAAATCAGACAAACACAGCCAGGCAGCACTGAGCCGTGGACCTGCGTGTCAGGTTGAAGCTACACGATGAAGAAGTATTTTGGTAAAAAAAAAACAAACAGCATCTACCTATTTTAAAAATGTTACACACACACACACACACACACAACGACTCGGTCACTGGGCTTGGTTTGTGCGGCAGTAAAGGAGACATCTACTCACACACCACACTAGCTCACGTGACATCAACCCAAAGGTAAAAGTACAACCGTATTGCAAAATGTCAAAGCTGCATGATAGTATTAAAACACTCCACTAGCTAGCGTTTGCTTTCGAAAGGTTAGCAAAGAGTCACCAGGAATCACACGTTGGTCACTGCTACTCTACTACGACCACAATGATCTTCAGGTAAACATGGCATCAGAGTAATTAGTGTCTGGTAAGCATTTTTTTGTGTGTGGCAGAATTTTAAGTAGGTGTGTGTGTATATGTATGTGTATCAATATAAATAAGAGAGAAAGAAGCCAGCTCGGTGTGTTTATGTGTTTTACACTCTCAGGACATAAGTCATGGCTTTAAGGACATGCTACACAGCCCAAGGCTATACCTACAGTACGACACAACAGCAACGACACCCCACTGACGAGCAGCAAGCTACAGGTAAACCCTGTGTACATGACAGTGTGTGTGTGTGTGTGTATGTGTGTGTGCATGTCCAGAGGGATGTGCTTCTATATAAAGAGACTCCACTGCAGTTGCCTCTCATGCAGTTAGTTGTCCTGGCTTGGCTCAGTAAAGCATGAGTCAGAAACGTGGTGATGTCACATGACGTCTGGAGACATTTGGCAAAGCACCCAACATGGTGCGTGGAGGGAGGGAGGGAGGGACGGAGAGAGGGAGGGAGGGAGGGAAGAGGGGGCAGCGAGAGGGGTAGAAGAGAGTAGGAGGAATCAAAGTGACAGGCCAGAGCTTGGATCTCATCAGCTGTCAGGGTTCAGCTGTGTCTCGATGTCAACGCGACAGATTGGACACTTCCTGCTGGTGGCCAGCCATTGGTCCACACAGCCCTGGTGGAAGAGGTGCATGCAGGGAAGTCTCCTAGAGGTCGGAAACAAGTGGATAGAAGGGTCAGTGTTGATTCACAATGTCAAACATGAAGCTGTGTTTACACAGAACTACTGACCGGAATCAAAATAACTCTGGCTAGCTTTGATTAACATGTACTAGCTAATGTCGTTAACACTTGTTTGGATAAAACCACTGCGACATAATTATTAGCTTACATTCAGCTAACATTCAGTTATTGTTATGTTATCATTCTTATGTACAAACATTATTTGTTGACTTATCAAAGTGTTTTTAACGACTTTATAGGTTTTTTAAATAGCTTTTGCTAAGCTAATTATTCATATTTTACCCCTTTAATTGAGCATAGCTTTTCTATTTTGGCTCTTCCAGGCTAATGTTAAGGCAAGTTATTTGGTATTTGTCTGTTTTTTTTTCTTTAGCTGTTTATGGCTTAGTTTGATATCTTTTGGTATTATCTAGCATCTAGCATTCGGTCTTGAAGAGATAGCTTTGCCCTCTGCTCGGCCGAGACTCTCTGTGCTGTAAAATGACTCCTCGTTTCACGCATTTAAGACGCTTTAAGATTTAGGAGAGCGGCTGTTTTTCTTGTTGGGCGCAAAGACTGAAAACAGGTGGGAACACGCTGAACCAATGCCTTCGAGCTGAAGAAAACTGGACTGTGACAGTTAGCGAAGTGTAAATGTACTTGTGGTGTTAATGTGAGTGCGACTATTTCTTGGCCGTGACAAGAACCGGTGGCCTGACAATTTGGTCAGGACCAAAATACCCTTCCCACATCTAACTAAAAATCTCACTCATTGGCTTTTGTTTGATTTGCAGATAACATAGTCATGAGACAGTTTTAAGAATGTATTTTTAAGCGTCACCTAAAGCTTAATAAAAGACGTGTTTTAGGCTGAGACATGTTAGGTTTGTAGTGTTTCTGACCTGACGTCCTCTCCATCCTCCAGCATAGACAAACAGATTGTACATTTCTCATCTGTTTCATCCTCTTCCCCAATCTTCAGGTGCACTGGCTTTCTCTGCAAACAGGTCAGATTAGAGCTTTGATTTGAAAAGGTTGACATCATAATAAGCTAACCCAAAACATGATAACCTTAGAATGTGTAAATGTTGAAAACATCTTTATTCGACCGACTTGCGACAACCCTACCTTCTTGTATTTGTGTGGAAATGTGAATCGCTCGATGGTTGTCTGAACGGCGCCTCTGCTGACGTTGCCCAGTCGATCCTCCAGCTGTAATAACTCCTGAAGAGAAAAGTTCAAATTTAACCTAAAACATTTTCACCTCATGACCTCGCCCTTCCCTCCTCACTAGTTACAGTACAGTATATCTGCTGTCTCTCCTCAGCACATTGAGTCTAAAACTCTTCAAACTTCTCTGTATAAACTTTATTATTAAGTTTTTCCTCCAATTTATTTCTGCCCTTTCTGTTAACTCCAAAAAAATGTTCCACCTTCAGTTCAGTCTCCTGTTTTTTTGGACAGTGCCACCGTCCCTGTATAATACACCGTAACAAATGTCAAAACTGTCCTGTAAACTTCTTCTCTCACTTTTACCACCTGACGTTTGTCTCCTTTTCTCTCACTTTTACCACCTGACGTTTGTTTCCTTTCACTCTTCGTACACCCTTCCTAGGCCACTGTACCATATTTACATTCAGTCAGTGTTACTCCATACAAAGAAAACTACGAGGTCTAAATAAATGCTGTGCTTTTCAGAGACAACGCTCAAAATTTAATTCAAGCAGGTTGTGGCTTTTGATGGATGAAGTGCAGATATTTCGTGAAATGTTTTCGGAGACATATTTACCTCGTAGCTTTCTCGAACAGCAGTGGCATGCCTTGAAGGATTCAGACTCTGCAGTGCCAACAGGTGCAGCTGGGGGTAAGGGTAGTTTCTTACTTCATGCACAACCTACAAAAAAAAAAACAACCCAATATCATTTTACTACAACTTACAGGTCAAGTATCAAGTATCACCATAAACCAATCATCACCGAGGCTGTAGGTAGCACTGACTGGATAACAGACCAAGTATTCTGCTCTTAACACTGTAAAGTTGAGGTTACAGGCAAACCTGATATGTTTGTTTCTAAATCAGGGATTTGGAAACATGGATATCACTGCTGAATGATTTTATTTTCTGTGGGAAAGAGAAGAAGAGATGTTGTTTTCTACATATCGATCGATGAGCTAAGGTGAGGGACTCGATCAAAAGAAGATCAAAAATATGGAGTCATAAATCCTTTGAATCCTCAGGGGGGAAAAAAACCATAAACTCCTGGGTTTTTCTACAACTGATACACTTGTCTTTTAAGTCCATCCATTTGACAATTGATCATTTGATTTTATAAAATTCTTTTTAATCACATAGTGGCGCTTTGGCCCAGAGGCAATGTCTCTGTCATTGGTGTGAAACCCCAGGGTTCACCTCCTGGGCAAGTTCGAATCCCGGTTAGGGCGGTTGGTACCTTCCAGTGGACTCACCACCTGCAGGAAGGTTTACGGGGGGGGTTGGTACCGGGCAGAGTGTATTGGGTGGTGACTGCTGCCCCCGCGACCCGGTAACAGATAAGCGGATGAAAATGTATGGATGGATGGATGGATTTTTAATCACATACGTAACATAAGTTCTGAATGTTGGGTAAAATTCTTGCGTTTTTGTAAACAGTATATTAGAGTTTTGTATTGAAAAAAAAAAGCCCTGACAGTTGACGTGATTGTTGTTCCGTTCCATTTTGGGTTTTTTTGTGTCAGTTTGTCAGGCTTCATTTTTAACGCTTTAGCCCTAAAAGCCCCCTGCCCCTCCTACCCCACCCCTCCACCCCCCCAAAAAAAAACCCCATAGCAAAACACTTTTAAAAACAGAATAGAAAAACACAAGTATATAGACACACACCACTTGTGCGGAGGATGTGTTCCTAGGGAAGTGGTGCATTCGTGGGGTGGCTAGGTAATGCTGATAGTGCTGTGGAAGCTGCTGCAGCTGATACTGGTGATGAGGGAGGCTGGCGTCCACACTGAGGTCCCTGCAGGCAAAAAGACAGGTGCCTTAATGGGTGTTGTCACCCTTTTAGGCAGCGTGACAGACGGACAGATGGGTCATTTTCACTCATTAATGTCCAGCAGACACTCACCAGTCAGTGCCCTCAGCTAGGTACCGTGGCTGCTGGGAAACTGGCTGTGGAACGTGGAGGGGAGCCGAGTACTCGTACCCTGGACGCAGTCTGTGGGGGTTCAGGGGAATACGCTCCTGGCTTCTCCTGCAGTAAAATACATTTGTCTGATGGGCTTTTCTTGGATACATGTATAAGGTATTTGTATGTACGCACAGTAGCCGTGGTCGTACCTGGAGTGTGGGAGGATCCTGCGTTGGTGAGCTTCGAGGAGCTGCTGCTGGATGAGGTATTGCTGGTGTAAAGCCTGAGGTAGGAATGGAGTCCCCGGCACATCCTGGAACTGAGGGGGAGCAGGCAGGGCAGTGAGAGGGGGGTGGTGTGCCGGGGGCAGGTGGGCGGCCAGGCCTGTTTGAGGCTGCTGGCTGATGTGTCCTAGAGGGAACTCGGCTGAAAGCGGCGCCTGGGGAGCACCCAGGTGAAAGTTTCGGCAGGAGGTAGCATGGCTATTATGATGCCTGGTGAAGTGTGCTCCTGTGGGCAATAAATGTCCGTCATTAGAACATTTAATTCCAGCGAAGCAAACATCGCAGAGAGACCCTTACGAACCAATAAAGATAATGCATATAGTTAGCTCTGTACATCAGCCCTCATATCAGAGCTTGATCAGTCAGCCACGATCACAAAATACATGCGGTGCGACTGATTTTCTTGTAATATTCATGCAGAGATTCACGAATACTCGCTTTTGTACATTTGTATTTGTTGCACGAAATATGCTTTTGGGTATGAGAGAAAAGAACAAGTTGGTATAAAATAAAAATAATATAGTATAAAAATTTGCCGGACAAACACGGGCAAGCACAGGTTAGCCCAAAACGGGTTAGCCCAATATATAGCTAATATAGCTAATAGCTAGCAAAAGTAGCAAAATGAAGCCAAAACATAATAACAAATGGAGACTTAAACATAACTAATAATTGACCCTGGAGTAGTCGGATTTTTTCAAAGTAAAGTATTCAACTATTAAACTGGTGATTGGCTCAAAGTCATAGGTGACTTAGCAAAAACATTAGCCATGTTAGCCGTGCCTTAGCGATCGCTGCTTCCAACCCCAATCATTCTCAATGAAGTTTGAATTTTCTCCACCCACAGTTTAAAACGTGCAGCCTTCGTACTAGATTGATTGGGCACCTGTAATGGACTGTAGGTGTGAGTGCGAAGATTGTGAAGCACCTGTAATGGACTGTAGGTGTGAGTGTGAACATTGTCTGTCTTTAAATAAGGCCCTGTAACAAACTCTTCAAGAAATAACCCTGGGGTGGAACTCTTCGCTCTGTGGCTGCTTGGATTGTACCCACCCCCCACTGCCGCGGACCCTTCCTTGCCTGCTAGCAAACTTGAAGATATTTTTAAAGTCCTTAATCCAAACTGTGTACCATGATTGACCCTTGAGCCAGGCATTTAACATCTGTCGTAAACTCACATAGACAGTAAAAATATATTGAAACAACTTTTTGCGCTAAATAAAATTTAGGACACAAGAGACAAGACAAAGGAGACAATACAACAGATGGACGAGGACCTCGGAGGACCCCTGTGGAGTCCCATCTAAACCCACAGACAGATTGTACCCAGCGGCCTGTCTGTGTGCCTGCCACATGGCCTGAAGGGCGGATGGATCCTGACTAACAGCCCTGGGGTGTTTTCCAGCTCTCGGTGTATTGACGGGTGTCTGTGCTCTGTGATAACTCTCCAGTTTCTCAGACTAATGTCATTTATTGTGTCCGTTTGAATGAATGTGTTTCTTATTTACACTCTCCATCAAAGATTATCTGCCTCCACGTACCCTCCCCCACTGTTGCCTTCAGAGGTGGAGGCGACGTATGAGACGGTTCTGAATTTAAAGTGAATCTCCTCTGTATTGACCTGCACAAAACAATCAATGCAAATGACTCTTGGCTCCTTAAAAAGAGGTGAGGGGCCGGCTGGGGAGAAGGAACGAGGGTAAGAGGGAAGGCGAAGGAAATTAGTAAATAATTAAACCTCCCATTACAAACCATTACAGGTTACTAGCTTTCCAGACAAGAACACAGACAGCAGGAAATAGAGACTGATCTAGAATGATCTAGAATGATCTAGAGAATGTTTCCTTAATCAAAGGTAACAGACCATTTTCATAACAGCATCTGGCAAAAAATATCTGTTTAACACAGATCCTGCCAATGGACTTAATTATAGTAACCCTGATGACAGTGAATAATATTACTTTGTGTTCACCTTTCATTTCATGTTAAAATAAATGATCCAGTTGCGAGGTCAAAATGTAACAAAACAAGTCGCTGAAATGTATTTCAGGGATATCTCAAAGTGTTGCCACGGCAACTACATCAAGCTCGTACAACTGGAAACATATCGTCATCTTTTGAGATTATTTTGGTGAGTTTTGGTCTGTAAGGGGGCTGAAATCTGGGAATGTGAGCATCTTAAGTTATATATGCTAACTTAGCTATCTTTTATTGGCAAACGTTCTCCTGTTTCTCGTTATTTCTTGGCTTACACCTAGTATATTATTTTTCCCACTTGATTGTTTTTCTTTATTCTTTAAGTTTAAGTGTTTTTCTTTCAGCTTGGCAATTACTGTCTTACTCTTTTGGGTAAACATTTACTTGTTTTGGCTAACAGGCACCTTTTGTCCAACGTTGAATACGTTCCCTTGGCTAAAATCAAGAAATCCTAAAATGTAGACTTTCCTCTAACCCAGTGACGTGCTGATCTGTATTAAAAATGCATTTTCAGTATGACTCTACACATTTTTGGCATTGTATTAAGTAAAAATCGCCGAATTCGAGTATTCCTTAATCAAATACAGCACAGAAATCCCGGGTGAGGCAGCGACGAACTGTGCTTCACTTCAGACTGCGCGATTCGACACAAACTGGGTCACATGACGCTTGCCAGTTTCTGTTTCTTCTTAGCCAGGCAGACAGTACTCAGCCTCGCCTCAAGGGGTCGTACGTGAACTGACAGGTGCTCTCCAGCTGACGTCAACAGGCAATTAAAAGACGGCGCGAAGCTAGAGCCAGTAGTAGGTGAAGAACAGCGTTTTCTATGCTCTGCCCGATCCGACTGACTGTGGATTACGTTTCAAGACGGAAACATTTCCGGTCAAAACCGGTCCAAACAGAAGGTGATAAGTGATTGAAGACCAACGTCGGAGCTACGGGACAGAAGAGTCGTTCTTTACGAATGTACCGGTACAAACGAAAAGACTGGCTGCGTGACTGTCCTGCAAGAAGCCGCCATTACTGCTCTCCTTGTCTTTTATTGTCGTCGTGTGATAACGTCTGGACTAACTCGGGATACTGGGACCTGAAACAAAGGAGCCTCCGCGGACATGAAATATCAGCCACGCACATTCGAAGCCGTATTTCTTTAAAAACTTTTGGAAATTCTAGGATAGATTTGGCATTGGATGAGCAACTACAGACTAAACATTAGCATCCACAATGCTAAGAAGAAGGAAAACCGAGAGCTACAGCCATGGACTTTATCCATAAGTAAAGGTAAGGCTAAAAATGGCTTTAAGTTTTTGTTTTTTAAAAATAAGATAGGAGTAAGTAATTTTTTTTTTATTTGATAAATTGTTGGCCTAATTTTTTTTCTGATCGAATTGATAGACAACCTCTGTTTAAAGCGGAAGGATTGAAAGTTTGAAAAATAACTGAAATTTTTACTGAAATTAATTTGTGCTGCACTCATCTCTATACTTTAATTTGTTAACAGTAAATATGACTTGCTTAGACACAAGAGGGGGCTCTAATCATTTCTATAAAAGAAACGTTCTTTGTAGGACAAATATGTTTGTGTTGTTAGTGTCATTGACAAAGGAATGTTGATGGATATGAAGCATTACCAGGTGTATGCTGTGGAATGAATAGTGAAATAAGATGCTCTTTTTGGTTCTTACAATTGTAAATCTGACTCCAGAGGAGTCAGTGCCTCAGCGGCCATGAACCTCACCGTCACTGCTCTAACCTGAACCTCACCGCACGTCACTGCTCTAACCGGAACACCTGCAACTTTTGATTTTAACGTAACCAAGAAAAACGTAATAAACGTAAAAACATGAACTATATGGCAATTAAATATAAAGTTTTCCTGGACATAAAAATGTCATGAATACTTCAAATCAAGACAATATTAAGGACATTGTACAGTCCTCAAGTGAAAGTGTAAGCTTTTTTTTAGTTCTTTTTAATTTAATTCTAGTGAAATTAGCATCCACATCAAACGGCGCCCTCTCTGCAAAGCTAACGGCAGGCTTATTTATTTATTTATTTATTTATTTTTAAGATTAAAAAATAGATCATTTGTATCTACAACAAAACTGTTTGGTTTTGGGATTTAATGTTTTATAAATTGTTTTATTAAGTAAACAATTACATGGTATTTACAGATTATTTAGTCTTTCAAACAGTCTGCTGGTTATCTTCTTATATATCTGTATATCTTTCCTTAGATACCCAGTTATTGGTAAATATGACATAAATAAATAGATTTTTCTTCTGTGTTTTTGTCATGTAGCTTCAGTAGTTTGTGGATGTCCAAAGCAAGAAAGGCTTTTAGTTTAGTTTAGTTTAGTTTGATTGAGTCAAATCAGTCATATTTGTATGAAGCTGGTGACCTTATAATTCTGGAATATGTGTGAAGCTTTGAGTAAATGTCAAATAATTGCCTCTGGACTGTCACAACAGCAACTGCTGACATGGATATTTGACATTTTGTAAGACAGCCAGCAGCAATGATGATGATGTTGTTTCCTCCACATTTCTGCTTCGTCTACGACTCACTGACGCAGAACAGCCTTCCAGATCAATACCCATGCATGTACTCTAGTCTCATCTTCCTCCCTTCTCACTTCATCCTGCCCTTCCCCCACGCCGTGGCTGCAGCATGGTGTCCCTGTGTGATCGACAGTTCGTTAGCACCGCCCACCAGCAACTGCAGCAGTCTGACATTAAATCTGCAACCAGCCTCCCACCCACCCACCGTCCCCCTTCCCTGCTGCTATCACTGCAGCTCTACACTCACACATTCTCTCTCCAACATAATCCTGTCCTTTTCCCCTTGTTTAGTGCTTTTCCGAGCCTGGTGCAGACAGTGTATCACTGAAACCCACCACCAAGCTGATGTTATTAATTCACATGCACACTGTCTGGGTGCATGTGAATTTCATATATGCTCCTGATGGTGTGCAGCTAGACTGAGCATTTGTAAAAATATGATTCTTGTACATTGTTCACTGAACTTGATTTTCTATACATGGGGTCACATGAGGACAACAACGAAACGCTGATGTGATCTGAAATAGAACAGCTCCAGTGGACGAGTTCAAGAATGATAGTTTCCAGTGTTGTAGTATGTCGGAGTAATCTGAATTATTGAAATATATATTTAATATATAATATTTGTGCTGAACTATTATTTTAGTCTCTTTTTGAAATCATCATCATCTATAATAAGTGTTGTTTGAACAAATGTAATGAATTAATTTGATTATCCATGACTTTTCTCTTTAAAAAAGAAGACAAGCATTCACTTCTATACCTCTAAATCCTGCAAGGCTGATGTTACTACATAATCTTTGGTCATCTGAAATCCACTTAAAATTTTGGATTACTAACAATAGAATTCTCTATTGTAACTTTACTTAATATCTATCATTTATTGTCTATGATTTGAGCCTAGTAGTCCTACAGCAAAGACACTCCCCCAGAAGGACAGGGACTGGAGAAAATATCTGGCCCTTCATTTTTCATCCAATTTATCCTTAAGCATTGTCTTAAGTTATATATATATATATGTCCTAAGTTATATATATATATATATATATATGTATATATATAACAGGTAAATATGTGCCAACCAGGGTCAAAGGCTCAATGACATTCAATGGACGACACTTTTATGCATTTTAAAAATAAATCCCAGAAGCCTCATGAAGTATGAAAAATAAACGAAGTCAACAGAACTACCATGCCAAGCTTCTGTGGAGCGAGGCTCAATCTATGGCCACTTCCTAGTCCTATATCCCAGCTGCTGAGTTCTTTCAAAGATCTGCTGTTGTCAGTGGTTAAAGTTCCAGAGCACACATGACAACTTCTCAACCACACCTTATATCTTGCACATAAATAACACAGACTATTTCAGACATTGGGAACAGATGTCAGGCTCAAGTGTTTGCAGTGGGCCAGAAAGGAGTCCAATGTCTTTGTTAAGACGTCTTAAAATGCGGGTAAACTGTTTGAAATGTAGAGCTAAACAGCCAACATGATCAACACTGGAGCCTGCGCCACATATTTAACTTATTTAACCCTTTCTTCAATGAGAAATTGAACCTTTGTTTTATGGTAAGATAATATTTAGGTGTCTGCTTTTTTTTTTTTACTCTAACATGAGTCACATTATATGATGCTACAAACTATCTAGTGGGTCATATCCTATTTCTGTCAAGACTTTGTGGCACCGTTTACTGTGCTGAACTGGAAAGACAAGGTCTGGATACGTGAGATGATTGTTTAAACATACACAGACCCACGTATTTACAGCTTTAGACGTGTACACACACTTAACACTGTGGTTTGGCTCTTAATGTCCAGAAGCTGAAATTTCTTGATGGTACTAATAAACCTACAAGTAAAAAAGGCAATAAGGAAAAATTTACCATGAACTATTATCAAAACACTTCCTGAAATACTTCACAGAACAGAACTGCACAACCTGCAGTATATGGTTGACCAGGGTTTAATATATATGGGTGTGGGGGGCGGGGTGGGGGGGATTATAGGTTAAGATAACATTCATTAAAGACGTCAACATAACTGGATAATTTCTTCACTGTATCATACCAGGAAATTAATTTATCTTTTACCATGGTATCCCTTAAGACATAGGTTAAAGACAAGACTCTCAAAGTCTCTCAGCCGCCACCAGAAACAGTAACAGTATTACAACTGGCCAAAATACAGTAGTACTCACCATTTACATGTATCATGAGTCTGATAGACCTACTCTTTAATCATCATTTGAAAGTTCCTGTTGGTTTAATTAATCAATTAAACTCTATATAAATATCAGCAACACTGGACTCCTCTGCTCACCTCTCTATTTTCCAAGCATACCAGAAAACCGAGGTCTACCTCTGCTAAATATGACAATATAAATCTGTGGAGGAAGGCATATGAGATTATAGGTTTTGTGTTAGTCTCATTTAAAAAAAAAGCAGAAAATGACATTTTTAAGTGTTTCACATTTCTACACTATATATCTTTTATGATTTAACATTTCATTTGATAATAGGGTGCTAAGTGTTTAACTTGATTTGGTTCCAATGTCAACACCACACCAATAAACACCAATGAGTTAATGTAGAGAGAGGTTTTGTTGTACCATGAGGAAATGACAGCCTGTGATACCAAACACTTTGTCAATATGAACATGCTGTTTCTTTATAGTAGAAAATACGGTTGTTTTAGAGAAACAACATGGGTAGAAAAGTCAGAGAACACATAAAGAGTGAGGGACCTTCTCGGTGAAAGCACAGTGTGGAGGGAGGAAGGGAGGAAAACATGGAAGTCAGCAAAAAGCACACTGAAGGTTAGGAAGAAAACTACAGTCTTTATTGGAAAATATTAGTACTTGTGGCACTGTGTGATAATAGTAATAATAAGAGTAATAAATCCTACATAACCAGAATAATACCATGCAAATAAAGACCAAAGGCAAGGCCCGACCATGCTCTCTGTAGGGTTAACAGAACAGAAGCAGCATCCAATGAGTAGATGTGTATGCTTACAGCACAGTTCAGTACAGCAGGGACATTTCTACACAAAGATTACATTGGAATCTGCTGTTCAATGTGGAAAAACAAAAGTATAAAATGACCATGCATTAGGATCTAATACAAGAACATAAGGTAGAAAAATAACAACCAAAGAATAAAAGACATTTTGATTCTATAAGGAGATCTACAGCAGTGCAGGATATACACATCCCTGTAAAATGGATAGCATTCTGGAGGTGTTTGTTCATAAAAGAGTGTCTTTGTCTCCACTTTTATGGCACTTTGAGTACAAAGACTTTCACACAGGAACACTGTAGAGACACCAGTGTAGCCGGTGCAGTGAACCATTGACGATCACACAATTGACTAATTTTATTGCTTGCAAGTGTAGGCCAATCATATGACTGTAAATTTAATTTATCAATTGATTGAAGAGGACAGAGTAAAATTTAAAGTGATGACAAATGCTGTTAGAATGCAAATAAGCAAGTGGAGGACGGACTCAACGGACGGCATAAATAGAAAAGTCCGTCGAGCCTAGGTCGTAATCCAATTTCACAGGATCAAAATGTATCCACTTTACAGAAATTTACAACAGAATGTAGTCTATCCACACTGAATGGGAGAATCACAATGACAGTTTGTAGTCAGGTCTAACGCTATAATGGGTTATTCACTAAAGAGCAACATGACAGTTTAAATAAAGACAAACTGTTGGCTACAGAAGGTGTGTTATTCTTTAGTCTGTTACACAGAAGGATACGGCATGAGTGGGAACTTTTTTTTTTTTTTTTAATGCCAATGTCGTCTTCAGATGGAAAGAGGAAATGAGGAAGAAGGGGTTCACAATACAGCTAGATGCAGAGAACAGGCAGAGGCTACGGCAGACAGCAGCAGATGATCGTTAGCTACACAATGGAGGGGGACAAAGGTCTGAGAAATGCGGAATGTAGAGCCAGCCTCGATACTATGGAACAGGAAAAAAAGAACACAAATAAAAGCACAATGAAATCATTGGTGCTACTGCATGTAGTTGTAACAAGGCAACGTGTTAATAAAGAAAAACTACTGTTATTATTACATAATCAACACAGATAGCCTGCTGCAGTGGAGGATGAGACCAATGTGTTTTTTTATATGTGCAACTGAGAGACTGATTATTCACCTCGTTGCTGTTGTGGAGTGATGTATTCAAAGGTGTCCAGTAGAAAATACCACCATTGTAATAACCTCAATAAAACGACCTTGGTGCTGTTTTACTACCAGTGTGAATTAGAGAAAGGATTCATTGACTGACAGTCATTAAAATCAGAGTGGAACGGGAGCAAACACTAACAACACTGGAAGACAGCTGCACACAAAGAGGCAGACAAACCCTCTGTCATGTTGTCAGCCGCCTGCATGGACCAATTCAAAACAGATTCAATTCAGACCACAGCTGTAATAGGAAAAAAAATGTTGGTTTCTTTTTCGATTCTTCGAATTTTATCGGTTGCTTTTTCGCTTGATTAATTATAAATAAACTGCGGAAATCGAGGGAATAAAACGATTGGCGTTTCCTCAACGCAGTAATGACGACGGATTCATTTCCCCACAAAACGGAAAATTCAGTCAGACAAAAGATTCGATTGTCATCCACAATAGATACTGATTAATTTGGTTAACGGTTAAATGTGTCTGCGGAGTTATGGGTGTTACTGAGCAGACTGACTGTGTCCTTGTCTGCTGCTGGTTATTGTTAAAGACCAGCAGCAGATGAAGCAGCTGCGTTAGCGACGAAGGATAAAAAGGACCAAAGCCGAGCTGCGGTCATTTTGTAAAGGCCCTGAAACATCAGAACACAAACACGGTCATGGAAGCTGTGACATTAAATGTCTCCCGTCTGTGCCCACGTTTCCTCGACGCGGCTGTGAAATTAGCACCACGGCTAATAGCAGGTGTCAGCTCTGTTTACATCATTAACGGACATTAAAAAAAAAACACACAAGAGACGCGGAATAATGTTGTTAAAGGTTAGAATACAATTAATAAACACATATAGCTAAAGGCATACCTCTATTTCTAACTGAGCCGAAGACGGGGAGAACCAGATATCCGACATGTACTAACACCATCCTGGGTCCTTCTTTGTTGTGTGGGCAGCCAAAGAGACAGATGGTCCATGGAAATGATCCCCTCCAGTCCTGAGTACATTCAAACGGACAGGCTACACAGGCTCCACACGCTCAGACCGACAGCCAATCACTGCGCAGCTCCGAGTAGAAGCCTCTGGCTTTGGCACAGACTTCAGCCAATAGAATGAGAGATGGGCGGGTCCAGCAAACACCCTTCCCCCAGATTCTTCTTTATCAGCAACATAGATAAATATGTAAATGCTAACTGACCGGGTTAAACTGTATTTCTCCAAGTAGAGAACAGGGCTAACAAGGGCCAACGTATCACCTGGGTTATTTTTAACCTGATTCCTAAGGATTTATTCACATCATTCATATTCTGTAAATTCGTAAAGGCAAATGTTAGACTATACTTGATTAAAAATGAAAAGTAAATGTTAAAAGTGAACTATTGTAGTTACTAAGCTCTAATTATGATATCAGAAAATGCAATGTAGAACAATAAATGAAAAGTAAATGTTAAAAGTGAACCATTGTAGTTACTAAGCTCTAATTATATCGGAAAATGCAATGTAGAACAAAGTGAAGGTAAAAAATGTATTTATAGAATTATTTAAACAAAAAAGGAATTTCTAGGATTTTTTTTATTTAATATTTGCAGCAGTATTAGTAATGGTAAAATAGCCAGGAGTAGTAATTAACATATTGAATCCTAAATTTAATCACTTTTAGTCTTTTTTTTTTTTTTTATGAGTGTGTTTCAATTATTTGTTGATTTCTTTTTAAGGTACGACAAAGGTGATTCATGTTACAATTTTGTATGATTCTTAGATTTTGGATCACAGATTTGAAACAATATACAATATTAAAGAAACTCAATAGAAATAAAAAAAGTGAAAATGGCATCACATCAGGTCAGCTCAACACAAGATGGCTGTCACAAAATGAGAATGTAAAGTTTTGCCACACTCTTGTGTTAAAGGTGTGCAGTGCCACAGAACCGTGGAGCTCTGTGCTACAGCTGGTTAGTCAGTCACATTGTCATCGCTGCAGCTGTTATGGTATGATAACAGTAAAATCACAAGTAAATTACATAGATGTGACTCTGGCCAGATTGCGATAGAAGCCTAATATTTATATAAAAATGGAATTGAACCGTTACTCGATGATTGAGTCGTATTAACTCAAGACAATTTGCTCACAATTGCATTATAAAGAATATATATAGTAAAAGTGAATTTGATTTTAAACTCTTCGGAACATCTTTAGTATTTTAACCAAACGACCATCCACTCCTAAACTACTACAGTCTTTTATCTTACATGTTGTTGTTACATTTGTCCTTAACGATTGAAGAGTTAAAAATGAGCTGATATAAAGGACCGAAATACATTTTAGCACACAGAATGTCACTGTCTTCACTTCGCAGATTTCTCTCCTTGTTAGTCAGAACTGGCAACAGAATTTGCGAAAAGTGCTCACAGCACTGACTAATCAGACTTACACATTTACAGCAGCCCCCAAAAATATCCTTAGTAGACAGACACTGATTGTGTAACTCCTGTTCTTTTTTTTTTGTACATTTGATCAGTTATTTGTTATACGGATCTCAAAAGAAAAAATAAACTTTTATTTTTAATTCTAAATATTTTGCTTAACTCTCTCTGAATGGCATGTCCTTTGTGAGAATAAAGCCAACAAACACCATAGGGGTAAATGTAGCAGCTTTATCTTCTCTGCACAGATCATTAAGTTATATTTTGTCCTCATCATATCTCCCCTGAGAAACAACTGCTTCCTGAACCTGGTCTGCACCATTTGTCAGAGCAGATCTACTGAGGGCTGCTCTGACTCTTGACTACCTCTCTGTCTGTGGTGCTGGGCCTGGGGGTGAGGGAACAGATGGGCATGGGAGGCCGCGGGGGTCACAAAACCTAGTCCCGTATGTGCTTGTCTTCCAGTTCCCACCATCTAATACTTTAAGCCGTTCACAATGGTTTACTATCAGTGCAGGTCAGACTATACTGCAATCAGTTCCATGTCCTTAAAGAGTAGATGTCTGAGCGTTCATCCTGTCACTGTATTATTACTCAGTGCATTTAAATTTTTTTTGAAAATTTCTCCTGGTTCATAACTTGCATTCAGGTTTATTACCATTTAGCAGTATTTTAGGTTGTTTGACATCTAAAATGTACCCTTTAAAATTAGGGATGTCTGATATTGTTTTGCCGATATTGTTCAAACAATATTAATTTCCAATTCAGATATACACCGGTATAGGCCTGGTAATATTTGTTTAATTATCTGTACAAACCATATAAGTATGCAATTAATTAAATGAGCTGCAATACTACCATCTAGTGACTTTTGCTTTAATATACAGCCGTTTTTCCCCCAAATTATTTTTAGGGCAGACATTATATGACAAAACCCAGGCAATGCGTTATCTGGTTTTCATTGTTAGAAAAAACGATAATGATTCTTACAGATATTACATAATCTGCTAATATTGGGACGATCAGATATTACATAATATGCTAATATTGGGACGATAATTTCGGTTGGCCGATATTAGCAGACATCCCGATTCAAAATGTATGGTTGTCTCTAAATTCTAAACTGTTGAACATTTCATTTTTTCTTCCGCTGATAATTAGAACTTATTTAGTTCTGTAGTTTTGCGTAATTAAAGCCCTACGGTGGTTGTCTGAGTGCTGTAGCTACGAATGAGTGAAGCATTACTGTGGACAAACCCAAATTTAACAGCACACTGAGTCTGAACCCAGTGACATCTGCAGGAGCAGAGACTCAGTCACGTCTGGGTGTGTGTGTGTGTGAGACAGCACATTCACTGCTCTGTGAGGGCCACTGCTGCCTTGCAAAAGAATTTGCATACAGCTGATGTCGTGAAAAGAGACGGCCAAAGGGCTCCTTTAGTTTTCCTTCCTTTCTTTTAAGAACAGAGGCCGACAGCCTGCATTACTCCACTCCCTCATTGTCCTTCTTATGTGAACTCCATATGTCCCTCCAGTGACAGGTGTCACAATGTGACCTCTGTCCTGGTCTGGCATTTTATTGTTAAGGGTGAAGCTTTCAGAGCAAAGTCATGTAGTCTAGACTGACACAGTTACAAGGTGCCATATTTGATTAGTTGCTTTATCAGCCATTGCAGAAACTGAAATGTCCATATGTAACGTGACACAAACACAAACACTACGATGAACTAGGCAGGACAACAGTCATTAAATATTGCTCGATTTATTAAGTTTCAAAATAGTTTCTTTTTGTTCTACAGACATAAATTCAAGAAAGTCAAGGACGTGCTGAAGCGACAAAACAAATACCCTTTTTAATTTAAAATACTGGCAGTAAATAATAACAAACACAAGAGGAGCATGGTTGGATCACTGGTTATGAGGGAGATAAATGACTTGAGGTCAAATGATGCAAGAAGACATGCAATGTGCAACAAAAGTGAGCCCTGTTTTCTAACAACCCTCTGAAAAAAATGCTTGACTGGTCTTTTGTAGCCATTAAAATATGGTTAGAAAAGCTAATCATATGTGCAAGACGTGGTCAGCAGAGAAGGACGCAGAGTCTACAGTAGTTGTTGCATATAGAAAATAAAATTGACATAAAGAATATTTTACTTTATTTTCCACTTTCAAATAATACATAATTTTACTTAGATTTATTTGGTTTATTTCTCATTCCCGATTGTTCCTTGCTGTGTCCACTGGATATTAAAACAAGTTGCTGAAGTTGTGGTTCAATAGTGTAGCAATGGTGTCTCCTGTGTGGCAGGCTGAGTTGCAACCATATACTTAATGGCGCCTCCTGTGGCAGCCTGTGTTAGTTGCAAAGGCTAACACCGTAGGTTTCCCCATTATGGGATGAATAAGGGACTAATTTATTATTATTAATTATTATTATCATGGATGCTGTAAGGATGTAGATGTCAAGATGCAATAAAACCTCTAGTGTTTTAAATGTTGTATGAAGCTTGGATCTTGAATGTCATAGCATGAAGGCAAAAAAAAAAGACCACAGCCATAAAGAACAAGCAGACCCTAAAGATCAGGGTCACAGAAGTCCACACAGTAAACATCTCATCTAAAAATGTCCTACATACAGGAAAAACAAAAAAAAAAAAAAATCCACACCACCTCTACTGTCTTATATACGTGTGCTATAGTCACATCTATTATTAAAATATTAATAGATAAGTTAATAAATTCCACTGCTTTATAGGTAAAAGAATAAGCTTTATGCCATTCTACGAAAAAATAGTGCACATTTCAAGGCATTCAGGCAATGTCGCTCTGCAGTATTCAATGGAAGATACGGTTCCTCATTTGTTAGAAAGGGGTCCCTGTAGCTTTAAAGGGGTTTCCATCCATTCGGACCAGACCATGCAAACCAAAAGTCAGCACTACAGGGCCAAACGGTCTGGGTTTCCTGTCGCCCAACATATCTTTAAACAAAAGACACATACTTGTTCCTGCCAGTACAACATCTCCACCACGTACATGGGTTGTAGAGGTGGGTTGAGAAGAAACTAACATCAAGATGAGTTTTCCTAAGAGGTTTAAAAATCTAAAATTATTTTTAGATGTTCACTAATCAGTATCACAATTACAATTATTGGAAATCACTATTTTCGTGGTGGATTGCTCTTAATTTCTATAACTAACATTGAATAGAAATAGAATTTCCATGTAGAGCTGTATGAATTGTACTGCTGTAATTTGTCACATTTTGTGCAGAAAACAAAACCCCAGGGGTCTAAAACCTGTGCTCAGCACTGTGTATGTATATGTAACTATATTATTGGAGAGACCCTTTGCTCCAGTTCCTAGTATGCTAAGCTAAGCTTAACATTAAACTCCAAAACAGAAAATGTAAAAACATGATTTTTTTTTTTTACATGATCTTTTTTTTTTTTTTAAAATACAAAAACCCAGACCCTGCTAACCTGGAGTGACCAACATAGTGGGGTTGTATGATATAATATATAATCTCATACTGTATATGAAACCAGTGGTGAGACTCAAAACTGACTTCAGACTGGACCAAATGTTCCTGTCTCTAGTCATTGGTACAACAGGAAAAAAAAGGTTCAATCCAGTCTGAAAATACAATTTCAGAGCAAAACAGGTCAACAGACCAATCTTGATACTGACCTGCTGTCAAGCAGCGACTTGAATTTGTCCTTGTAGGACCCTGCATGCACCTACATTTGTTAATTAAGGGGCAACTGAGGTATTAAAACGAGGGGAGGCTATTGTTTTCAATAACAGATAAATCCCTCTTTATGTACATGTTCAACTACACTTGAAGTGCTATGCCGTTTTATTACGATTAAATCTATCTGTGACGAGCTGAGATCTCTGAGATCACTTCAGCGAAATGGCTTCGATACATGATTGTTCAACAGTGAGTTTAAAAAAAAACAGTGCCATGGAGCAGAGAGGAGTTGAGAATTGTTGACAGGCCGCATCTGCAACACCAGGAAGGATCGGAGCGTTAAAATGGAGGAGAGGCAGGAAGGACGAGGTTCATGAGTGACAGGAAGAACTGAGGAGTCTTCGGTGTTGTTTAGAGTACGTATTTGTGACCGGTGTCTTCGTCCAGCGTGAGGTCAACCACTTCAGGAGGGGACACCCAGTTGGGCTGAGTGGAGACATTAGTCCAGAGCTGTGGCTGGTTTGTGCTGTTCAACTCCTCCACTGAGTTCTCCTTCCAGGAAGACAAACTCTTTATCACACCTCCACATGGATGAGCACACCTACAAGAATAATCAAGGGGTGGTGAAGAGGCAGGGTTTGAATATGGAAGTTTTAAACTCCAGTACTCAGACGTAAGAATGTTTTTCTTTGACTCAGATTCTGACTTGGAATCCTTGGACCTCAACTCAGACTCAGATTATATTCAATGACAATTACTTTTGTTTTGGTCTTAACTTTTCTTCTATCAAAGAGTCCTTTGATGGCTTATTTTCAATCAATTAGATTCGGACTCAAAACCAAACCACTTGCAATCCCCTGTAGAGATGAATAAATATATCGTTTATCTATCTTAATGATTTAAGATTTTGAATCTAAAATGTGGTGACTTGAGGGAAACCCTTGCTTCTGTGACTCGTACTTTTCCTGAAACCCCAGAAACTTTCATTTTCCGGGGCTCGGACTAGAAATCAAATGCCAGGGGCTCAAATCAAACTCCACACTTTTTCTACAAGTTGGACTTGGACTCTAAACTGTTTAGAGAATCTTCTGTAAATCAACTTAGGGGTTTAATCCTAAAAAACCAACTTTGGACCTTAGACAAAACTTAGAATTATTTTTATAATTAAGTACAAAATAAAGCATGAACTCACCTTGCTTCTGTGACTCGTACTTTTCCTTTTTTTTCCATTTTGGACTTTGCTCTCAAAGGCTATAGGTAAAGCCCTGTGACTTTTGTTTAGCCACTGAGATTCAGAACAGACATAAATTTGTTTAGGCTAAACTCAAGACTGGAGTTGTTCTTTTTATAGTTTCCATAATGAAATGGTGACTTGATACCTGAGCAGGCTGATATTTCATTATTGTACAGCTGTGGTTCAAGTTACCTTGGTTTCTCTTGTACTCCAACAATCTCCACCTCACTGTCTGAGGAGGCGAAGTGGGTCTGGCCCTTGTTGTGTTTCAAACACTCCTTGTGCGGCAGCTCTGACTCCACGTGGCCTGTAACAGACACAGAGGAACAGTGAAACATTGTGAGCAGAGCTGCATTCACTGGAGAGCTTCCGGCCCCTGCTGACACATGAAGACTGCAGCTGCTTTGACACAGACAAGAGCAAAAGCAAAAGAGTGACAAATCTGACACTGAGGGTGAGAACAGCTGACTGGTAAGTATGGAATGAAACATAATCCCCCTCCCCCCAAAACAAAAAAACAAAAAAACAAGTGGTGGACATTTCATGTTTTCACAATGTTAACGGTCAATTGTTAAAGGTCTGTTCTGGCTAAGAGAAAGATTTTAATAGAGCCCCATGAAAGTCAGCAGTGTGTGAAGTGCAGAGCAGCGCTCGAAAAGGCATCTTGGTCAGAAAAGTGAGGTTTCCCTGCTTAGTCTTGACACCCATGCTTCTTAATGCCCCGTCTTCCCCAAGAGAAGAGGAAATGAGCACTTTAGATGCTGAGTTTGTAACTGACCTGAGATTGAGCTCAGAGCTCTTACACACCCAGAGTGAACTGCCATATCCTGGCCTCTGTGTGTTTTTAGCTCATGCATTATCACCGTAGGCCGGACTGTCTCCACACTCATACTCTCCTGGTTAGAATCAGTGTCTGAAATATCATAGTGGCCCACTACAGGAGGCCCGTCTGCAGAAAACAAAGAAGAGACTTCATTATTCAACTTATCCCTGCGATCGGTGGCACTGTGTCTGCACACGGTTGTAATCTTGACATTTGTCATCTCGTATCTGCAGCATCTCAATCACACTCACATTCAAACAAAAATGTTTATGCAATTTAAGAACAGCTACACCAAAGAGACCTCTCTCCTTACAAGAGTAATTTGGTTTTGATTGTATAAAAATCCTCTTACTACATCAGGGATTGTTTTTCTTCATTTATTGCTTTTTAAAATAACAGCCATTCACATAAAAACAACACTAGTATACAGTCATTACAAAACACTTCAACAGAGAACCCTACTGAAATATGGTGGGATAATAAAAGCCAAACAAAGGAAATATTTCTATGGAAGAGCAGTTTCATGTGTCTTTGTTCAACCCTGTCAAAGGAGTCCCTAGGAGATGCAGACAAACTCAGTCCAGAGGACAGGGACAGATTTCCGTGTATTAATAGCTAGTATATAAAAGCTAATAATAGAAGGTACCAACATTAACTAGAAATAACTATGAATGTAAAGGACGTTGACGATGATAGGGTAGGACTAAAATATATTTTACTTGTGGCAAGTATGTTTTGACAGTGTATGACTGAACACACGAGGCTTTGTTAATGGTGTGGAAAAACAGCAGAATAAAAGGCTAATCCAATTCAACCAATGTAAGTGGCAGTTAGTTGGTTTTACTAATACCCAAAATGGCAACATAATCATGCAGCACAAAAACACAAGATTCAAACAAAGTCAACAAAACAAAAGGCCATGAGAGAGAGAGAAAAAAAACAAAAAACAAAACAACTACATCAAGAGAGAAAAAAAACAAACAAAAAAAACAACTACATCAACTGTTCTTTAAAGGTAAGTATGCAGGAATTTGTTATGGGCTGCTGCTTGTGGTCTTTATTTTTCCTTTCCTTAGTAAGAGGCTGGGACATTTATTTGTAAAAATATAAACCAGTAAAATTGGACGCTGTGGGTGGCATTGATGTAACTCAATAGATACCAGGTGTAATTATAACCAAAATAAAACAATGTGGCAGAAAGATCGAAGGTTGGGATCAACCTTTTGATATTGCACAGTGCAGTTTGACTATTTGGGGTTTTGAAAATTTCAAAAAAGTAGTTAATTTATCAACATTTGATCTAATTAAAATTGCTGAGGTGTACAGCCACACAGATCAGCATGTTCTCTGCTCCTTAGCAGTCAAAGAGAGAAACATTACCTGAGCTTGATCTGTTGGCTCTGCTGAGTAGATGTGTCCGTCACAAGGTTAATTGTTTTATAATATAACATTACTGTAGCCTCAAAAGGAAAGAAACTTATTAGTTCTTGTGGAAAAAAGGTTTGCCCGAGTTACAGGATTTTTTTAAACATAAAAATGGAGCAACAGATTTCCACCTTTTAGAACAGAGGGCAGGGTCGAGGATTGCGATAGTTACTGGCACAAATGCTTACACAAATTCCTGCATATTGTATTTTAAAGAAACGATTTATCAGCATTAGGAAAGCTACACTTTTCACACATGCTTCCTATGAAAACTATTTTGGCCTCTCAGATTTTGTACACTAATATAATGACATGCAAACATGGGGAGAAAGATGCAATCCACTTGAGGCTTTTGTAAACTCACTGGGCTACATAGACATAGGACAGATCTGCTACCATAATTTTAGTGAGGATTATTTCAACAATGTCATAATGAATTAATATTGTTAGCAGTTTTTTTAAAAACTGGTGTGGTCATCTGCATCAGAGAAAGCTACTGGGAATTGTCTGTGAAGAGACATTGTAATTTGTCCTTAAAGGATCTGAACCAGAAAAGGTCACTTAAAAACCCACATTAGTCCATTTATAGAAAATTGGTAAACATTGCCAGGCACCACACTGCAGCACTGTTGCTAGCGCTTGTGTGTTTCTGCCATTTCAGTGCCTGGGCTTGTTTTTCGTCAAGACCACCTGTGAAACATGCAGCGTCCTCTAAACACTGGTCATGATTGCAGAGCAGTGGAAAATGAGAAAAAGGCAAATATTACCAGTGACATTGTGGCGCACTTCACCATTAGCACTCCACAAAGCTTCAACAAAAGAAGCCACGACTATTCTGGTGCCCTAATAACTTCACACATGCTACCTTAAATAGACAATAGGATCACTTCTCCCTCACTAGTTTGTTACTGCACACTGGCAGTGATTAGCAGCAAATGTAACAGAAAGGTAGACAATAAAAATAAACAAAGCTACTTTTACTACATTTTAGTTTAAAAGCAAGTCAGTATGTTGATTAGTATATTACATGTGGACTTATAGGCATATCTATGCTCAAATGTATTCATAAAGCTATGCCCCCAAATAAAGTTGTAAATGGTTGTAAATCCCCTGAATTAGTTACAAGCAAAATTAGGAATTAAAATCAGGAAAATGGAAGACCCACATTGATGAACCTGATTTTCCACATAATTGTATATGACAACGCTTTATCTATCATTTTTAGCATGACTTTGTCAAAGGCACATGCTATTTAACAGCAGCAACCCACCTAGCATTGTAATGAAGGCCGCTTGGGTGCTCTATTAAGAACCTGTCTGCACAAGTGACATTATCAGCTACTGGGTGTGTTGGGTAATGTGTACAGCTGCTCGACAAAAACAAGTAACATAATAAGCAGTTTAAGAAGAGCCCTGACTTTGTAGTTCGTTAAGGTATGCCTTGTCACAGAAGCTTCAGGAGTTATACAACTGAGTTGGATTATTGAGTGGAAATTAAATCTCACAGTGATTCCGTGCCAACAGATGCACTAGGCCCCGAGTATGAAGAGTCCACTTGTCCAGCTCATGCTCAGTTGCCGTTAATGGTGTTTGTTCAGTGACCGCTGATCATTTTTTTCCCATCACACCATTGCCATGCTTTCTGTATGAACTACTTCTACACTCCGAAAGATCAAAGAATGAAACTACAAGCAATGAAATAAAATCTAAACATTCAAGAGTCCGGGGTCTGGAACACCTAGATTCCCGTTCTGCGAAACCACTTCAGGAAGGATGTTGTTGTTTATGGGGTTGGGGGTTAGGCTGTTGTTGTCTCGTGCCAACATGTAGGCAGCCATAGTTTCTGCGGATTCTGATGATGGTAAAAACGAACTTGGAGGAGACAGGCGGCCGCCCTGGGAATGATGCTGCCCTTCGTGGGCATCGCTTGACCTCTTGGAAGAGTCGTTGTCCGAGTCAAGATGGGCAAGCTTTTCCATCCAGACGCGGAATCTCTCCTCTGTCTGACGTTGCATCACAGCAAAGCGGGTCATGGCCTCCTCCAGAACACTGCCGATGCCGTTCCTGTCCCATGAGCTGCTGTCCAGCAGCCCATGAATCTGGGCGCCCACTCTGGATCTCTCCGATGCACGTCTGAAGCCAGCTTTAAAGACATTGAGGCCAAGCCATAAGAATAAACAGTAGCACTTTCATGCTTTGGTGGTGGACTTTTGTATTAAAGAGGAAATGACAGTTCATTATTGGTTACGTGCAGATCGACTCTTTCATGCTGATGGACTACGTCATGCAGGTGTAGCTTTCAAACCTGTGTGTGGGATGTCAAAATGGTTGAAGATGTTTTATGTACTATAAATCCATAAAGGGAGGAAACTAGATGTCTCAGACAACTGTGGCTTGAAAATGTGTTAAGTAGTTAGACTTTGAGGTAAACACACATTAAAGCCACAATAATAACAAACCTGTGATACAAGAGGACAAGATTTACAATATTTGCCACTAAAACGTTTGCATATTGTCAACATACTCAACCAGACCAATGGTAGGCCTCTTGATAAATCCTTAAATTATAACTAAAAGGCCAAAAAGAACCTAACTTACTGTCATATTTTCAGGAACGACAACAACAATGAAACTATGATTCCACCATTAACAAAACAGACAAATGACAAGAACCATAGACCTATAAGAAAAGTTTTCATTTTTGAATGTATTTCCAATTGGACACCTTTGTTTGCAAAGTAACTTGGAGAATCTGCATATTTAAAGGTGCATTTGCAATAATATTTTAGACATGCCACCACAATGGCCATCTGCCATCCAAACGTGCTAGAGAATACACATGAGAAAAGTATCCACCTGTTCTTTCACCTTCTTTGGTGAAAAGCCAAAGGCAGAGACAGACAAGGAGGCACAAAGCAGCCTTAACCCAACATCAACAACAATCATAGAGGGGAAAGAGAAATCTGAAATCTCTTAGTGCTTTACAAACTATGAGTTCTTTTAACTCTAAACTCTCTGATCTGGGGCTGCTTGTACAGCACAATAACCCAACAGCAATTTGCAACTCTGACCTAAACAGTTAGATCATTCATCAGTTACAGCCAGGGTTGATATAACGGACCACTTGTTGCACTGCAGAACTCACAACAAAAATTAGACTATACCCAGCTTTTTTGATCACTGTAAAATGAAATTGAAAAAAAAAAAATGAGACAAAATTTCAACACATTGCTTTTGCACACCAATACAAAAACACGACATTTAAAGAGAGTGAGAATGAAGACGGATGAGGAGTGAGACAAAAACCAAACATAAATGACTGAGCATTAACACACAGACAAAGACACATGTTTATGCTTTACGTGAACAATGCTACCTTAATTGGTGCATCTTCCTGCAATTAAGATCTGTGTGGTACTCTTTTGATGTATCATCTGTAGTTCTGTATAACTATGGCTACGTTCACACTGCAGTTATTGTTGCTCAATTCTTACTTTTTGCCGAGGAAGGTTTTTTTTTACCTAGTTTTTCACATTCACGTTTTTTTTTTTGGAAACACTCACGAGGTGGCAGAGTTGAAAACATACTAAATGTGAAATTAAATCTACAGCAATCTTCAACACTGTGTGAAAAGCACAGCAAGGCTTACGTGGTATCTGCCTGGGCTGTTATTTGTGATGAGAGAGGAGTGGTCTAACAAGAAGTGTGGAATAAAACTCTCAATCTTTTCATTTCAGTTGTTTTAAATATTTTTTTTTAATTTACAACAAAAGTATACCTCTTTTACCTACCAGTGTCTGCAGGTTTGATAATATTACAAATCAACATCAAAACATTAACAAAGGAGATAAAATGAATTTTTACACAACCATGAAATATATTTTAAACATAAGGACTTGGAACAGAGCCAGGTATTTTTACATTATAGGATCATGTCCATTGTGAGCTGCTTGCTTTCTTCAAGAGAAGGTCCAACTCATCTTTCTTTTCTTGCTTTTGAAAGATGTAGCTGTTTGAGGGAGAAAAAAAAGAAATATAATAAAATATTAGTATAATAAAAAAAAGTATAATAAAAGCTATTGTACGATAATATATATCCCATAATGATCTGATTTTTAATTTCATCTGGATCTCATTCTGTATCATGAAGCTTGAACATTTTAACTTCAGAATAAACAATATTTTCAAGACTTTAGCCGAGCAAACACTTTGCAAAACCGAATAAAATCCTATAGTGTACATGCTCATGTAGAGTATCCTTTGTAATGATTGAAACACATGCAAAAACAATACTCCATTAACATTCAGAGACACCTAGGAGTACATTCATTTTAGGTTTTTGTTCAGAAATTACTCATGCTTGACATAGGCAATTAATTTAACATCAATTTCATTTTCAACACACATCATATATCAATATAAGTTAACTCACCTGTGTTGCTGTGGAGGCTTTTAGCTGGACTTTCTCCGGTACCCAGACTTTGAGGTGCCTCTTCAGCCACATCGATAGAACTACAGCCCTGCTGTGTGCCAACACAGCAGGGCTTGTTGCTGGTGACTCAACTACGAACGCTTTGTCGGTTGAAGTCACTCCCTTCTTTAAAATTTGCACTGAGGCTCCTTACTTTTGTCTGTGCCCACGCTCGAGCAGTTGTTCCGAAATGCATTCAAATGTAAATAAAATCATCTTGGTTACGACATGTTACCTCATGTTAAGCTTGAGCAGAACTGCCCCTCCCCCAAATTCTAATTAGGACAAAAAACTCTGACTCTTCTCCTGTTGGTTGGCTCAATTGATAGTGTCTGTGATGCTTGTTTCAGCCATTGTTTATGTTCAGTCTAGCCACTTCCCTTTCCCCACATAATTGCAACGGCTACAATACTTCAATTAGATAAAAGTTGAGTTAAACATGTCATGACTGTTTTGAGTACAATCGCAAAGCAAAACAGCAGGTACACATCCAATTCATAACCACATATAAATGGCCGGGATCAGATTTGAAAAAAGAAAAATAAGTATGTTGTTTACATTGTCATAAAGAAAATCAGATGAGTCACATAAAGGACCACCCTTGTCTGCAGTATGAACGTAGCCTTTGTTTCCTCTAAGACTATCCATATGGGGTTTACATAGTATCAAAATGGCTGCTAAACAGCATTTAAAAAAGTGTCTAGATTCTGTGAATAGCAGTTGTTACCTGGAATATCAGTCTTGATTGTCTTGCTTCCTCCTGACGTGTCATCTTCATCATCTTCAGAGGTGCTGGTGCTTGAGTCACAAGTAAGCTCACTGTCACTCGTACTGCTGTCCTGCAGCAGGTTATACTTCTTCCTCGCTGCTGCCTCCCGCTTTTGCCTTAGCAAACGCATGCGCTCCTTGTGTTTCTGGCTGCGATGACCTTTCACCTTGGCCATCTTGCCGTTGGTTTGTTTTTCCTGCACTCCTGCTGCGACTGCTGTGGGCTGGCAGCGATTTTTCTTTGCAGCCATTGCATTGGGAGGCATCTCACTTTCTGAACGCGATCTTCTAGACTTTCTGCCCCCACTGGCTGTGGCAGTCATTTGCCTTTTTCCTCCTTGCGCAGCATCATTTACACCTTCCATGATCTCAGACTCTTCACCTACAGGAGGAACACCACCTTCTTCTCCTGAGGATAGTGTGTCTGAGTCAGCAAGGTGGCCACTGGAGGAGGGGGAGAGCATGCAGGGGTTTGAAGAGTCACTCTCATAGCCAGGACGGGTTGCAGGGTTGTCAGTCTCTGTAGAGGTTTGTTGAGACTCTGAGTCTCGATGGAGCTCCTTCATCAGGCATGGCATCGAGAGGAGACTCTGCTCACCCTCTGTATGCAAAGGGCTATCTGGCTCTTTTTCCCTTGGTGGTGAGCTGGTACTGGTGGTGGTCTCTGTTTTTTGAAGCTCTTCCTGAACTGAAGCTGTGGCTGATTGTGCTTCATCAAGGCACTCAGACGGGCACTCTGCATCCACAAATTCATCGGTCTTCTCTGAATCAGCCATCTTCATCCTAGTTTGAGCCCAGAGGCCAAAGGTCCAACACACATGGACCTGTGTGCCTGGACAGAAACTCACCTGCTGGAGGAAGGTCAGCAAAGAAAAAAGTCACAAATAATTGAAATTATGAAGACATGCTGGCACACGGCATTTGAATGAGTACAGGAAAAATAATGTGTTTTTTTTCTCTCATATTTGAATGAGTACAGGAAAAATAATGCGTTTTTTTTTAATTATTAGAAAACTAGTGCTGCAATTATTAGTTAACAACTCAGTGTCTACATTTCTTATGTTAATTGATTATAATTAACTTATTTTTTATATTTAGAACTTATAACATAGCTATAAGTTCTCAAATTACACAACACTACATTTACACTACATTTTCTCTTTCTGAGTATACTATTGTTGCTTTGTTACTTTTTAAAAACAGATCAAATTTTGGATATTGTGGGGTAAAACAAAGCACGTGAGGACATTTTCATTTTCTTACAAGTTGCGTTTAATTTGATTACTTGATTAAAATAATAATATATAATATAATCTCTGGTAGACTGACTATAAATAACAATTACGTTTCACTTTACAGAGACAACACAGCTGTTTGTCAAACATCTATAGCCATTTAAAAATAAGTGAGATTATAATTTATAACCTCAGTGACCTAAGGTTATCTCAGTCTGCAGTTAGCTGATGCAAATGTATTACTTTTAGCCACGTAGAGCTTAAGATAATATTAATTATACATTTTAATTTCCTAAAGTAGACTACTAGGAAACAAGTTGTTGAACACGTTTACGTTGTAGGACAGTAGACCAGCAACAATCTATAAATGGAAGTGGTTTCTATGCAGCCAATGGAAACAAAACAGGCACACCAGCAGCTAACCTCATCGGAGCAACTTAGCATTCAACAGCGACTACGGCGCTTACAACTTACCGCGCCGTTAGTTATAATTCTTCTTCGTCCAGTGTAACACTTATCCTCATCTTCGGTTTATGTGACGCTCTAAAATTTACGGTACATAAACGGCGCCTCACAAAACCATAAACTTTCTATGAATTTAAAAGAATTTGAGCGCGTTTGACGCAGTGCGCTCGTACCTTAGCGAGCACTGTTAGCCGTTGGCGGCTAGCTATGTGAAGTGTAAAATGTCTTCAAGAGTCTTTCACAAAGATACATGCGCCATTTCCGGTCACATATCCGAAGGTAGGCGTCCCCTAATGGTGGGACGATTATAATCCCTTATAGTGCCAATATCATAGCGGATGAGAAAATTTACACATTTAACACACGGAAGAATTAGATATATATTATGTCTCAATTTATTAGCCAAAAATAAACAGGAATGAAGGCCATTGACTTCTGTAAATGTTATTAATAATAACAACAATAAAGGAGATGGTTGAAAAGTAACATTGAAACGGAATGTATGCTTGTGAAAAGGAGCATTTCGAATACTTTAATTTTATTCTCAATTAGAGATGGTTCCTGTTCATGCAGGAAAAAGGGTTTGGCAGTTTTTATTTTTAATCCTTAAAAATAGTTAAAATGTTGCACAATTTTCTCAAATATTAACTTAACTCTTATTAAAGGGGAAACAGATTGCTCCATTTACGTTAATACACCCTTCATAATACATACACTTCTTTTATGTACTTTGAATTTGTACTTGTACTTGTACTATGTAACTGTGTGTTTATTTCTCCGTTTTCTCCCTTTTCATTGTAATAAATGAATGTGGTAATAAATAATAAACATATATTGCAAATACACGTGTTTCCTTGGTAACATGCGTTTGTTTATGATATATTTTTAAGCTGCAATAAAATTTACAATATTTACAGTGTTTCCGGGTCACAGTGACCTTTCTACAAATCTACTTCCGTGACCGCCATCCTTCTTTCTCCGCTCCGAAAGCAGGACAGACGCCACAGGACACAGTCATGTTGTCAGTACGAGTCGCATCGACGCTTGTCCGCACTTTACCTCGACGGGCAGGATTTGTAAGTAAATTTTAATATTTCCTGATTTTAAAGTGTGACATTCTATTCCGTTAAAGGCTGTTAATCTGCACATGACCGTGAGCTTCTTGCTTGGTTTAGCGTCTTTGCACCGGAGGACACCGGGCCTTCGTAGCACTCCTCCCTCACATTTGTGAATGACAAACGTCTTTATCTTAATTCATCCATTTATTTTCTACCAAATAATCATCTTCAGTGACATAATAATACACAAACGACGAGAATATTCAACGTGTCGCACTTTTAATTCATTAGTAAAGCCTATGCCATTAGTTGAGCAGTGAAGGTCAGGTTGGACTCAGTCAAAAGGATGACTCTCATTTTAAACGTGGATTCTAGACTAAGCGTTAATATTCCCCGTTAACTAGTGTTGTGTGTCTTGATAAACACTCGTGTCGTTATCGTCGTAGTTTTCGGATAAATCAATTCGGTAAGAGAATACACAAATTTGATTTGTTCCGCTTTGATTTTTGTCTGTACAAAGGAAGATCTGCTATACCTGACAGACTTGCAGTTTGGCACAATATAGAATTATTTTCCAAATGTCTGACAAGTGCATAGTAACAACTTCAGTATACTGTTTTCTAATTCAGTTTTTTTTGATAATATAATTTTAAACTTTGTTCAACTCAATGCAACAGGATGGTTGGATCCTGTGTTTAGCTAGATTATATTACGCAAACCTTTTTGAGATTGTGAAGAAGGGGGCAATGTCTACAATATTATTTCAAAAAGTTAATCAAGAAAAGCAAATGTGTTTTTATTCAGGCTATATTTGATTCCCAGAAAATAAAATCTGAAATATTGTCTCAACTACACTGTCTACAAATAGTTTAATAGAAAATGTAGTGTTGGTAAGTTTAAAGTTTGTTGGGTCAGTGTCTACAAATAGTTTAATAGAAAATGTTGTGTCAAAACAACATACAAAACAATCAGTGCTGATGATACATTTTATTGTAGTGTTGGTAAGTTTAAAGTTTGATAAGTTACCTTTCTTTGTCACTAAGGTATCTAAGAATGTTGCTGCAGCATGTGTAGGAGTCAAGAATCTACACACCAGCCGCCCATGGCTGCAGAAAACAGGTCAGTTTACACAAAACCTAATAATAATTTCAATTACTTAAAAATAGTTTAATCTTGAATAAGTAGTTTACTTTGTTAACCCGTTATTAACTTCTCAGGCACTGCCGAGGTATCTTCCATTCTGGAGGAGAAGATCATGGGAGCTGACACTAGTGCTGAGCTGGAGGAGACTGGTCGTGTGCTGTCCATCGGTGATGGTATCGCCAGGGTCTACGGCCTTAGGAATGTGCAGGCAGAAGAGATGGTGGAATTTTCCTCTGGTCTAAAGGTAAAATGGAAAGTTTTCATTTTTGTGATAGTGACCTCTGAGGCAGCAGATTAGTTTGATATTTCTTTTTTTTTTTTTTTAAACTTTAAACTTTTTTTAAAAACTCCAACATGACATGTCATTAATTCAGACATGTGATAAAGACACTGATGGTGATCGTTGATTCTTCTCTGCTTCAGGGCATGTCTCTGAACTTGGAGCCAGACAACGTAGGTGTCGTGGTGTTTGGTAACGACAAGCTGATCAAGGAGGGAGATATTGTCAAGCGTACAGGCGCTATCGTAGATGTTCCCGTTGGAGAGGAGCTGCTGGGTCGTGTCGTCGATGCTCTGGGAAATGCCATCGATGGAAAGGTGATAAAGCACATAAAGTTGACAGTAGTGTTAGGTGCATCTATTATCTTTTTTTTTTCTTTTTTTTTTTCTAAACATTTTTTAGGCTTTGCAATAATCTTGAAGGAGAAATGTACCTTAAATAAATTTCTAGACATGAGTGAAACCATTGTCTGAACTTTCTTCCACTGTTACTCAAAGGGCCCCCTTGGCTCCAGCATTCGCAGACGTGTGGGTCTTAAGGCCCCCGGTATCATCCCTCGTATCTCTGTCAGGGAGCCCATGCAGACCGGCATCAAAGCTGTGGACAGTTTGGTCCCCATTGGTCGTGGACAGCGTGAGCTCATCATTGGAGACAGGCAGACTGGGTAAGTAGTGACAGTGAATGATTATTGAAGATGATTGAAAACTAAGAATTTGAACTAAAATATTTCTCCCATCTGATTTTTTTTTGTTGTTGTTACAGAAAAACTGCCATCGCCATCGACACCATCATCAACCAGAAGCGCTTCAACGAAGGAACTGATGAGAAGAAGAAGCTGTACTGTATCTACGTCGCTATTGGTCAGAAGAGGTCCACGGTGGCTCAGCTTGTGAAGAGACTCACTGACACTGATGCCATGAAGTACACCATCGTGGTGTCTGCTACTGCTTCTGATGCCGCTCCTCTGCAGTACCTGGCTCCCTACGCCGGCTGCTCCATGGGAGAATATTTCAGAGACAACGGCAAACATGCCCTCATCATCTACGATGATTTGTCCAAGCACGTGATTAGAGCTGAAATAAAAAAAACATGTTTTTTTTTATTATTATTGTTTATGTGAAATTTGTATCTAACAAATGTTTTTGTCCAGGCTGTGGCCTACCGTCAGATGTCCCTGCTGCTCCGTCGTCCCCCTGGTCGTGAGGCTTATCCTGGAGATGTCTTCTACTTGCATTCCCGTCTGTTGGAGAGAGCTGCAAAGATGAACGACAACTTTGGCGGTGGCTCCCTCACAGCTCTTCCCGTCATCGAGACACAGGCTGGTGACGTGTCCGCCTACATTCCAACTAACGTCATCTCCATCACAGACGGACAGGTGAGCGTGTGTGACTAGCGTCGGAGCTAACCACAAGAAAATTCCAGGGTTGTTGGCTGATCACTGCTGTCTCCCACAGATCTTCTTGGAGACGGAGCTGTTCTACAAAGGTATCCGTCCAGCCATCAACGTGGGTCTGTCTGTGTCACGTGTCGGCTCTGCAGCTCAGACCAGGGCCATGAAGCAGGTCAGAATTGTCCATGGTCATTGTCCTTGTTTCAACATTACATTAGGAGAATCTTTGATACTGATTTATTCACTTCTGTCTTCATCAGGTCGCCGGAACCATGAAGCTGGAACTGGCCCAGTACCGTGAGGTGGCTGCGTTTGCTCAGTTCGGTTCAGACTTGGACGCTGCCACTCAGCAGCTGCTGGACCCGGGCGTTCGTCTGGACGAGCTTCCG